TAAATGATGGGATAAAGAGGGAACAAGCAAGCAACGATGTAAAGGGAAAGATGGGGTGAGATGCACGGTGCCCGCGCCACACACTGGTGCAAAGGTACCATTGGCAGTTGCTATGCTTTTCCTGTGAGATGTTGTCATGTATTGAAACATATTTTTATCATATGTCATATGATCCATTGCACCAGAGTCCAGAATCCAACCTGTATGTTGCTCAGTTTCAGAGGCTAAAAGAACATGTCCTATAGTACTTGTGTTGGATGACGAGTCGCTCTGAGCAGTACGAGTTAACAAAGTTTGACTAAGATCACTAGAGCTAGCCTCAGCCTCATTGGCTGTTGGTGTAGCAGCGGCAAAGAAGGCATGGCCCCCACCGGTTCCTTCTATTCCACGTTCCTTGGCACACAACCCTTTCTTCAATTCTGGAAACCACTCAGGCACCCTGTGCTTAGCAAAACATGTATCTTCAGTATGACGGGTCTAACCACAGAAAGTACACTTCAAATCATCTTTATTTTCTCAGGTAAATGGACGAGAATTTAAAGATTGATTAGAAGAATTATTAAGACCCCCGGGGGGGGGGGGGTGATAAGCTCATATTTATATAAATTTTACATCAAATTCACTTGTCTTTTCTTAGTTAGTTCCTTATATTTTTGTGTTTTGTAGGATTTGTCAAGCAAAGAAAAGAAAAATAGCACAAGTGGGATTTTAAGTAACAAATTCGTCAAAAACTGCCTGTGCAGGTCAGCTGACTTTGGAAGCAAGTTGCGAACAACTCAGAATGAATTAGAGAATGAGCCTTATATGCTTGGAAAGCTACGGATATCTATTTTCTGGAGCATTTCATGGATTGGTAATATCGTTTTTCTAGAAGAAGTTATGGCCGTTTTAACACTGAAAGGTTCCCAAAAGGCTGAGCAGTTTGTAACTGACAAGAAAGCATTGAAAGCAATAAATCCAATAAAACTAGCAGCCAAAACTGATGCAGCCAAGAACAAGCCAGCTGACACCTATTCAAATATCAGAGGAAATGGAAAATTAAGTGGGAGTAATGGGCATAATGGCTACCTAAAGAGTTACAATTGTTTTACCATTTCCTCTCACTTATTGTCATCACTAAATGGCTGTTAGTGGGGTGAGTTATAGAGAAAAAAATTGTGGCAGCAAGCAAGAATAAAAAGGTTGCAGGTTGAAGCGGCAAAGAAAGAAGAAAAAGATAGGAAAAAAAATAGGAAAGGAAGGAAAAAAGGCAAGGCTGCTGCGTTGGGGGAGGAAGGAAAGGAAGGAGGATATCTTAGCATTCTCTTATTTCGGTTTTATCTTCTCAAACCCATGTCTTTCTTTTGGTTTTATTTAAGGATTATGTGCAACTAAATTTTTAGTAGTTAGGGGCTGTTTTGAAGCCCTGAATATGATTGCACGTTTGTTATGAAATTTCGTTTGAATTACTTTAATGAATGGATGAAAATTGGTTCACTACTTGTCTCATTGATGAATTCTTTATGTGTTTTCTACGGATGCATACTTAGTAAGCATATCTAGGATTCTAATGCTATGAATATGTGTGTGCCTGCCCTTGTCGAATGAGGACCTACATATGTTCTAGAGTAGTACTTGTTAATTGCGATTAACATGTGAACCAATTTCTAGGATAAGTAAGACAACACTAGTACTTACGATGCCTTGTGATGACTCAAACTCTTTTCATTCTTAATTATTTGTACTTGTTAAATCTATGAACACACCATTCTAGATTACATGTTAGGGACTAAGTTAAGTTGAAAACGTCATTCTCTTAACATACTACATAAGAAAGAGTAATAGGTTGAGTTCTAACATTGAGCCAACTTGAGCATCTTCATCCGGAAATAAAAGGAATTTGAATTAAACATAACATGTTTGCATGATTATTTGGTGGTGGATAGCAATTCCCCTAACTCGTTTTTCTTAATTTGCGAACTACTTAAAATCTGTTCTTGTCCTATTTTTGTTCGATTTAATTTAAATAGAAAATCAACTCCAAAAATCCCAAAAATTTGTATGAGTGTAGCTCTGTGTGTCTAGTATATTCATATAAAATTTCGTAGACTTTAGATAAGTGTAAGTCAGTCTAATAATTATTTTTCGATGGCTGGTCAGTAGGGACAGCAGCCCAATTTTTATGACACTTTTAAGTAGTTAGATAAAACAATCTTCTGCGGGAAAGACCCTTATTTTCATACGCTACAATTGACAAATCTTAGTGTTAATAAGGAAAATCAATAGGACATTTGTGTGCTACTTTGTGGTGTGCTTTTAACCCTATCAGGGGGTTGCAGGTGGCCGAGAGACCATGGCCACGAACAGCAGCCCTCCTTGGTTGTTCTCCCACCCATCATAGTGGTATGTCATTGTGCTTCATGCCTAACAACAGAAAACACCTCATCGACAGATGGTAAGGGTTGAGTACATAAAATATCACTATGTACTTTATCAAAGATGTCATCCAAACCCGCCAAAAAAGCATACACACAATCGATTTGAATCTCTTCTCGAAGTGTCTTGAGATATGTAGCACATTCCATCTTGATTGGCCTCTGTTGATCTAACTCTTGCCAAATGGACTTAAGGTCAGCGTAATACACACCAACCGGATGGCCTTCTTGATGAAGTCTTTGAGAAATATCTGAACCATCATAATAGGTCTGAGCCACCTCTTCCTAAACTTCTTTAGCTGTACGTCTCATGATAGCAGGTTCCATGGAATTGATCAGCCACCCTTTCACTATTGCATTCCCTGTCTTCTATGTCTCATACTCAACATTATCCTCAGCAGGTTCCTTGGTACTCCCTGTCACGAAGCCCTTTCTACCACGTCCTGCAATGTGCATCTCCAATACCTTGGACCAAAGAGGATAATTTGATCCGTTCAGCTTTACGGTGTTCGGTACAGCAGACGCATCGATCTGAATGACAACAGGATTCAATATCGGATTGTTGGTTTGTGTGCGGGAACCACCTTCCAACTTCAAGGTTGCATTGTCCCCCATATTCACCATCTTGACTTACAGAGAAGAAGAAAAAACACAGCACCCACAGTTGTGCAATAAAAACCTCACAGCAGCAGCAAGACAATGCGCTGCAATAAAGAAACTCACGGCAGCAACAAGACGACGTGCTGCAATCCCAAGATACACGGCCTGACTGATTTCTGCAACAAACAGCGCAGGAACAAGTCGACCGAACATAGCAGCAGAAAAAAATATTGTTATATAATTTCTAGGGTTAAGGCAACTTGGCTCTGATGCCAAACAAAATTTTATGGGGTAATTGTTCACTGTATTACTTCATTGAAATACACACACACACATATACAATTCTTGTTCCATAAGAAAACAAATAAAGGACACAAACAATGTCCTACCTAATAAAGGACTCCTAATATTTACAATATTTTACATTCCTTTTTTTCCCTAAATACCGACTCACGTTTTACAGGATAGAAGCCATTATGTTGTTGCGGATTGTTTGAACAGCCAAAACACCATTCTTCAAGGGGTTCTGATCAAATTAGAATTGGGAGAGGAGTTAAGCTTTTATCCATCAAAGACAACAGGACTAAATTCTGCAAGAAATAAAAGATACAGAAACTTAGTATCTCATCTAGCTTGAAACACCCTCGGGGGCTCGTTTGGTTTCTTGGATTGGGTTGGATAACTCAATATATTCAAGTTATTATGTTGCAGAAAAAAATGAAGACAGTTTGTCCACTTGAAGGTAGAAACTAGATTCTCGTTCCGTCGTGTCTAATATTTTCTAATCTCCGCAGAATGAAAATTCGTTCTCCTCTATCTTCAGAATACCTTGAAGTTTATGCTGCTATACAATTCAAGCCAATCTTAGCCACCAAAATTCCCTAAATATCCGAACTTGAAGGAGAAACTTTCCCTATGGATTGAAGTATGCCATGAGCAAAGCAGACCTCTTTTCTTACAAGTAAAGGAGTCGATGTTAGAATCTCAATCCGCTAGTGATTTTCACACTCCCAGTTTCTCCCTTAGCACTCATTTACTAGTTTTCGTCTGTCAATTCAAGAGAGGATCGCAGAAGGAGAAAAATGGTGCGCGAAAATGTAAAATCATATCATGTTATTCTTAATCGTAAAATCCCAAAAACCCAACAAGGGAATTGAATCCTAGAGAGAAGAGAGAGAGAGAGATAGGGAAGTGACTTGCAGACATCACGGACAAGACCCATTGGTGGCGAGACCGAGCCGGCCGACGACAGTTCGAATAGGATGGCGGAGGATGGTCATCAGCAGCCATACGTGGTATGCACCCAGCACCGGCAGACCCAGCGGCACCAGCACATAGTCCACCTGCTTCTCTTCCATCCTCTCTCTCTCTCTAAATCAATATGAAGTTTAACGGATGTGTGGAAGAGTCAGAGCGCAATAGAGTTTTGACAACATTTGTGCGGATCAAAATTATAATTTTCACATGCCAATCACGTCGATCCAAGCTTATGGCACCGCCGCATACGACACCTTTTTCTCTCAAATGTCTCTATCGTCGCTAATTGATTTGAATTATTACATGTTTTTTTCTTTCTCATTTTAACTTTTAATAAGTAAACGTGCATCAAACCAGTTGATCATGAGAGTGTGTCCGCCCCTCAAGTTCGAATCCCTACTCGTAGAGTAGAAAACTTTCAATAAATGGAACAAATTCCATTTGTTTATTACATAAGGATCGATTTTTGGTGTACGAATGACAGATCTGAACGCCCTTACACAAGTTTTTCTCGCAATTGTGATGAGTAAAAAGTAAGAACTTCTTGATGTTAAACGTTGTTTTTTTTTGTAATCCTAGCCGTATATCCACCAATCATTGCTGAAAGAACATGAAAAACTCCAGGCGACCTATAAGCCCTCCAACTCAACATATATAAAAACACACTCAAGCTTTTATACATTTCCAACTGTAACTGTTATGAGCTTTCGGCATTAAAAAAAAAAAAAGAAGGTAAATACCAAAATTTATTGATGGTAACTATCCTTACAAAAAGTCGGGGTTAAAAACTCTTATTATACATGAGATTTCGGCTTTGAACATCCGTTTTATGAGCTTTTACCAGCAGCTTTGGCCAATGAAGTGAAATTCAACCTGCAAAGGAAAGGAAAAGAAAACAAGGTTCGAGAGACACAAACGTCACTCAAACGAAGACTAATGCACCAGTTTTTCAACGTATTTCTCGCATGCTGAATCAATCACGTATAACTGGAATGAAAAGGTATTAGATTTTGATTTGAGTCGGTGAATACCTGATGATCGGCTTTCTCTGAGCCACAGGCCGAGAAGGGGTTCCGTTTGAGAATGGCGCCATAAGTTCAGCAGGCTTCAAGAATTAAAACATAAAGAAAAAGAAAAAATTAACTGTTAAAAGGTTCAATGAATATGCACATAGATGTACTGGACAACCGAAAACACCAAGGCAGATAACAGCAGAATAAACTAGAAATGATCAGTTTTACCTTTCGATGCTCTATAAAGAAAACCAAACAAAGACCTTAAGAAAAAATATTTCATATGCAACGAATTGTAGCAGTCCACGAGGGATGTGGAATGTAGTTGAATAACTTGAATGATGAGATGAAAACATGGAAGGTTGAAAAATATGAGCACAAGCGAAAGTTATGTGTTTAACCTCAAGTTCCTCTGATCCCCCATTATATAAATCGGTGGAAGTACCAGCTCCGTTGCTATAATTTACTAGCGTTGCAACTGACGCACTCTCCTCTGAAGCCTCCATTTGACTGCCTTTCATATTTCCTGAAGAGTCTTTGACTTGATGTCTATATTCCAAATCATCTTCAAGCTCATCCACTTCTGGCAAAGCTTGGTGGGAAACACATGGACCGCCCATAATCTTCTCCAGTACCTCTTCCTTAGAACTTGATGTATTCACAACAGAAAATAGACTATCGACTGGTGGATTGCACCTTGATGATACTTCAGTCTGACCATTCTGATAAGGAATGTCTACCGGGTTTTCTATCTTCCCTAAGCTAATTTTCACGTTATTATTGTGATTTTTGTTTGCATCGATACCGTCACATATTGTTGAAAATGAACTGACATTGCTGATAGGAGGGCTAGCCTCACGAACTTCATCACTGCAGAGATGCAAAGACTTGGCATGCCTTGAGTCAGTTTCTACATTATCATCCACCCGCTTTCTCTTCTGTCCACTGTCTGATCCATCTAAATCAGTTTTACCTTCCCCGCTACAGAGACGTAAAGACTTGGCATCCCTTGAGTCAGACTCTACATTATCATCCGCCCGCTTTCTCTTCTGTCCACTATCTGATCCATTTCCTTCGGACGATTTCTCTGCTTGAGCATCACTAGAAGCCTTCACTTCTGAACTACGCCTGCTGTCCCAAGTAACTTTAGATGGGCGCAATGGTCGAACACCACCAGGAAACACAAAATTGGGAATGTTCCTGCGTTTTACATGGGATACACGGATCTCCATTCCACGCTTCAATAACATGTAAAGGTTGACAGCATTCTTAAATTCCTCAACAGTTCCCCTTATGTCAAACTGCTCGCCTTCAGCGACTGGAACTCCTTGTTTTCGTTGTAGGCCCATAAAGAACGAACTATGAAATGGTCTCGATCTGTCTGAAAAATCACCTGGATGTGGGTGACACTGCAGCATGTCATATGAGTGCCTCTCAATCTGGAGATTATCCAACACAAACAGATAAATTAAGGATCAGAGAGACAGCGGACAAAAGAGAGGGGAGAGGGAGGGAGGGAGGGAGAAAAGAGAAAGGAGGGGGTGGGGTGTGGTTGGGTGGTTGGTGAAGAGAGAGAAGAAGTGAAAGGTTCACCTTCAGGGTTAGTTGACGGAGACGAGACTCAACCCAGCCCTTCCATTTTCTAAAGTCATCAGCATTTTCTGCACTGATGTCTATCTGTAAATAATTCTTATATGCTTTAAAGAAAGCATAAGACTCAAAAAGGGTATCCCAATCAGCCTTATTTGCTTCCATAGCCTGCAAGAACTACCAAACATCAAACTCGGGAACACAGAAAGAGAGTGCGTGTGTATGTGCCAATGCCACAATATTCCCATTATGCAGATTTTTTTAAGGGATACAATTCCACTAAGAAACTCGTTTACAGATATCATTGACACAGACCAACATTCAGCCCAATAGATGTGCAACCCATGGCCACAATGACTTACAAAGGACCCAAATATAGATTCAAACTCAGGCAACTACAAATAGCGGACCCTCCCTTAGCCCTTGAGCAACAAACAAAATTGGAATAACTTTGCTTAACACGAACAGAAGAACTGGTATAATGCCAATGGAAAATCAACCAGTTAAAATGAAAACTAGATATGTTACAGTCATGGCCTAGTTAATAGGAACAAGAATATCAATACTCGGCTTGGCCCAATGATGAGGAACCTACATGTTTTGTGTTGGGAAAGAAGATATCAAAACTCGAATGGAGCATCATACCTCACAAATTTCATTACCCCTCTGAAACTCCTCTAACATGATACGCAAAGTACTTGCGGACACATTGTAGCTAGAGTTCATACTGGGATAAGCCGGAGTAATTATAGGCATCAAATGATACTTGTCCTTTATATATCTTCTAGGATCCCAAACCTGAAGTCCAAGAGACCCATCTTCAATAGCACAAAGCATGACTGGATTTGGCCAACGCCACTGAGTATATACCCTGAAGAACCGAGAAACTAGCATATTAGGCAGTGCATTCGGGTAAAGTTGGCATATGCGAGCAACAAGCAATGCCCAGTTTATACCACCGAGAAACCCTGTAACCTGCTCGTGACAGAAACACACATCATAAGTAAAAACAATACTCTGAGAATTATAGAATAATCTAGCACATCAGCAATCCCCCACCATACATTTGAATAAACACCACGACGCTTTGCCCATAACCTCATGCATCTTAACGTTGTACGGAAACTCTGCAATCCAAAAGCTAGATACATGATGAGAAGCAAAAAGATACTAAACAGACTAGAAACAGAAATCCATATGCAAATAAGCTAATCATTGATGGTGAGAACCTGAATGTTAGGGACCAAACGCAGAATTTGGTCTGTAACTCTACAGCCATTGAGACTACGAACTGTCTGTTCATCTGCATTCTGTAGTATTGAGTCTTGTGATATATCCAAGTCCTGCTCCAAATGGAAAACGTTCAAAATAAACAATACCATAGTTTACATGGGATAATGCATGCAAAATTAAAAGATGACAAGGTGTTCAATTGTTAATATAAAACTTTAAACATATAGCCAAGACTTACTTCAGGAACAACCCAAAGTGCTAGTTGTGCATACAGAAGATCTATTGAAACCCCACTGAACTTGAATTTCATTACTGGAACGTGAGCATCAGGAACAGGATGTAACTCTGTCACTTCAGACATCTCAGACAGCATCCTATGTAGCTCGCCAAAGAAATCTCCCTTCACCAAAGTTATAAAAGAAATTGAAAGTTGACTAACTGATACTGCAAAAAATAACTACAACTTAATGCACGGTAAAAGGTAAGGTTGATCATACTTCTCGAGTTGCATGTCTAGGTCCAACGCAGAGTGTGTCTATATCTGCTCCAGGGCCATGAACCTGATAATAAGGGGAAATGAGAAAAAGAAAGGAATATGTGAAACTACAAATGGGCAAAAACTAACTTAGAATAACATCACAGATTCCACGTCCAAATAGCATTATTTACAATAAGACTCGCAACTTATCAACAAAAGGGCACAGACAAGAAGAGTCTGACCCATAATAACAATTCAGTCAAGATTTTTCCCTCTTTTCCTACAAACTAGTAACAAGTCAAGGCACACGTACAGAACACGAAGCAAGAATGGTGAACAACGACAATTCTTTCAAGTTTCAAGATTCCGGCTTATTATTATAATATGACATTGTAGGTTAACAATTTGAGACAAAGAACATATTAAGAATTACAAAAAAATTAATGAGAGAGAAACCAATAAAACATTTTTTTTTCTTTCTTTTAAGATAAACAAAGTGTATGTTTGTGGTTAGGGTTCAAGTGTCACTTAATATACGACAATAACACAACTGAAATCCAGAACAATGCCGTACAACAAGAGAAGTTTTTGATTTGCATCTACAATCCACAAGCACTGTCAAAGGTCTTTAAAATAAAACTGTCCAACAGTTAAGACAGGCATTAAAGGACAATTGCAAACACAGAAACCCTCCATAGAGTGGGAAGGAAAAGAGGAAAAGAGCTTCATACCCCTAGCCGATATGATCCAAAGGTGAAAATCTTAGCATTTGCTTCATGCACCAATTGCTCATTCAAACCCTTCGCCCGGCTAATTGTTTTAACCCATGTCTTCACAATCTGACTTGGATTTCAGCACCAATATCATACATTACAATCAGAGAATACAATAGCAAACATATATCATCGATATAACTGGAGGAAAAGGAACTAACTAAACATTAACCAACAATGTGCAACTGATCAGCTCAATCACAAACACAACAATAACAACAGGAACATAAAAGATTAGTTCAACCTGATCTAGCCTGCCAAGAACCTCCTCCCTGCCCACAGCCTCTTCCTGACTCTCGTACAATCCAGCATCTTGCAAATACTGAAGAACCCACAAAAAAAGTAAAGCCAAAATTCAGCAAAACCTCAGCTAAACACCCAAAATTCAGCTATGAATCATAAAAACATCAATCAAACCACAACCTTTTCGAGTTCTCGAGTTTTGATCACATCATACTCCGTCGGACCGCCCAGAGAAATGGGCTCTGTAATGCCTAACCGCTGACCATTATTTCGGTTGCTTAATGCAGGGCTCCCCATTTACAATGTGAATAAAAGTTCAATTTTTTGTATATACTTATATATCAGAATACATGGGAATTGGGATGGTGCAGTCAAGAACAAATTTTATTGATGATATTTTTGCACTCTTTTATTCTTTTCTTCTTCTTTTTTCTTCTTCTTTTCCAAAATAATTAAATCATAACCAAACAAATCAAAAACAGAAAAATAATAATCAAGTAATTCTCAGTTACACATGATACTGGGTATAATCCCCAAAAGCTACTAAGGAGAAAAGACTGATGACAAAATTGAACAAACCCTAACCCTATATTTTTGATATCGCAATACAAAGTGTACAAATTCACCAATTTCCAACCCTGAGCCCTAACCCAAGACAGCGGAGAAGGAGAAACAGCACCGATTGACGCCGAGAAATTGAGTGGACCGCGCCAAAAGTCTCCGGCTTTTCAGAACCGACGGTGTGGGCCTTCGTCGGTGGTCACCATCGGAGCCTGAGAATCATCGAGGAGAAGAAAACCTGGAACAATCGCTGGAGGGAGGGAGATAGATAGGGGTAGATAGCTTTTATAGAGAGAGGGAGAGCAAAAGGGGAGAGAGAACCCTTTTGGCTTTTGGGAGATCGTATTTCGTCATATATAAATATATATTGAGTTTAGTTCTCTTTATGCGAATTTACTAAGAGAATTGCTATTACTGTTCCAAAAATTTCATTATAAATTCCTCGCAACTGTATTTTTCTTTTTAATTATAAAATATTTGAAGTGCCAAATAAGATTTTTGGAGTACTAATAACAATTCTCTTTACTAAACAATAATTTTTTTTTTATTTTGTTGTATATACAAAACAAAACTTTTTTTTATTGGTTTTTTAGTCAAAATAGTCTCTGAGATTTGTATAACACATAACTTTCAGAATTAAAATCAATAGAAATGATCATGAGATTGTCCACCATTCATTATTTTGGTCATTTCGTTAAAAACCTCCGTTAAGTTGAGTTATAACGCATAACTCTAGTACCTGATATTTGCATAACACATAATTTTGGTTCCTGAGATTTGCATAACACATAACTTTGGTCCCTGAAATTGTCCATCATCCATCATTTTGGTCTTTTCATTAAAAAGCTTAGGAACCACTTAACGGATTGAGCTTTTTAATGAAATGACCGAAATAATAGATGTGGACAATCTCAAGAACTACTTCCATTGATTTTAAATCTCAATGACCAAAGTTATGTGTTATGAAAATCTCAGAAACTATTTAGGCTAAAAAACCTTTTTTATTATTGAAAGACGGTGTTATTCACTCCTTTTTAATTCATATTTTTTTTAATTTTCGACCGTCAGATCGGATAAACTGAAGAAAATCAAAGGACAAAATCAACCGAACATGTCGAGTAAGTAAAAAGGACCCAAATAAATTAGTGCTGGCAAATAAATCTTCATAACCTTCACAATTAAGACAGATAAAAACATCAAGATGTCCATAGATAGATCTTTTTACAAAAGTTACATGCATAATTCATGAAGTTCCGAACTTCTCAGACACAATTGATGTACATACGCAGGCGCGTCCCAAATCAAAATGATTCACAAAAGCACAACTTTCCTCCTCCAGTTTCATCGAGAGTCGACGACCAGTCTTTGGTCTTTGGACCGAGTACACAGAAACTACATGGATTTTACAACAGAAGGGTGTGTGTGCAAGTAGCGAAGCAAGATCAGAGTGCGGATTCACCGTCCCTCCTGAGCAATTCCTGCACAGGAAAAACGCGATTAAGTCACCGCTTAATAAATTTCATCATTCATTCTAAAAATCCCGAACGCAGCTTTACACGTGAATTGAATTGATTTTTCTTCTACCGTTTAAACTAACTTATGTAGAGGCTTGCATAGGCCGCCTCGTATCCTGTTACCGTGTGTGCATGTGCTTTGTGCGTGTGGTTCAAAACGACTTGGTTAGTTAAATACAATCCTTCAATAACTATATGAGTCGCCTCCACATACAAACATCTAAAGGTAACATTACCTGTTTGGTAGCTGCGATTGACTTGCGTTGCCTTTCTTTCTTCTCATGCAAGCATTCTCCACACCAGCTGGAGAAATCTTTCCGATATTTCTTCATCTCTCTGAAGACGGAACTGTAAGGAGATAGTTTGATTAGTATTGGCCTAAAAAGGTTCTTAAATCCAGCACGTTCTATATCACACAAAAGGATTCTACCAAAATGCTAACGCACACCAAACCACGGTAAATTTAGGATTTCGGCGAAATTTCAGATAAACTAAGATGCAGGAAATTTATCAAAATCTATAGCTGCTTAAAGAATACCTTCTGCACCATAGAATTAAATTGATGCGATGACCAGATGTTGTAGCTCTAGCACCGTGCCGGTGACGGCCACGATGAAGCACCGCATATCCTGGAACATGGGCATAATCAAAGATCTCCTGCTTTTAAACAACATACTCCATCAATAAGTTTACAACCACCTATGAAAAATAGCAGGCATCAACTGTGTATAACTTTTAAGTTGCACAATAGAGACGACAAAATTGAAAGAAAGAAAAACAAAAGATAAATAAATTTAGATGGTAATGATTGGTTACCAAACACAAATATTTCAAACGACGAGAAGCAAATAAAGTTAGTAAAAACTGCAGCAAAAACATTATTGATAATTAAATAAAAAAAGCTCTAAATTACATAAGGAATAATTAGTTCTCTCTCCATTTTAAGAATAACATACCTCTGACTGGCTTCCACTATTTACATGTTTATCACATCGTGTGCCCCGAAAATACAATTCTCCTCCAGTAAATTGCTTGCCCAAGCACACATTCAAGGTCACTTCAGAGTCATCCACATGAAAACCTACAAGTATGAAATCAATTTTACACATCTGCATTTGACGGAAAAGGAAAGATATACTATTTGAGAAGTGGTACTACTATCATAACCTTAGACTATATTGTCAAAGATAAGGTGAGTCTGTAGAATAAACGGAAAATCACATAAAGAAAATGCACATTCAAGTCTAGCAACGCTGCTACAACTCACAACAGAGCAGTGGATCAGAGCCCAGTTTATACTTTTTGAGGGCAACCTATAAATTATCATATCACCGAAAACTATGCAGAATTCACACCATCATATGTAACTGCAAAGTGATAAAGTTTGAAGCAAAATCAATCAAACAAAGAACCTACCCAAGTCAACATCCCTATTATCCCCATATTCAACAACAAAACCATGATGAGAATCCAAAGTTGCTCCACCAACTTCAGGAAAGAACACTGCAACAAAGAATAAGGAAACGGATTAAAACAACGGATATGCCAATACTGACCATAAACCATAGCGAACTTTACAAATATAAATATTAAAGTATAAACTGAGGATATAATGCACCACCTTTAGATATAGGACGAATAAAAGACTCCAAAAGCTTGTCAAGCATGGTTTCAAGGCCAAAATCATCAAGAACGGCACCATATTTGTTCATTGTATTTGGGCGCATGATTTTAAATTTGGCTTCATTGACCCAATTTTCAAAATTCTCCACCTAGGCAGCAAAGAAACATAAAAGAAATAAAAACAAAAGAACAATGGTAAAGTCAAGTCAAATACAGAATGGCAGATAAGTCATATGCAATTACGCGACAAGAAAACTGAAGGAAAATACCTCAGACAACAGAAGTTCACAGAACCGTGGCTGAAACATCTCAAATGCAAAGATCCCTGGTGAGGGTTCAGACATTATCCTTCTGAAGCTTTCCTGAGTATTCTCACTAACTGCCTTCAGAAATGCCGTAACAAAGGTGGCTGCAGGTTGCATACTGTATAACCCTCTATGTAAAGGCTGCACCACATATCATTCAGTTTTAATATATCCCTAGTCAGTCACGAAACTTCGAAGAACAATTAATCCAGAGTAACCGTGAGTCGTTCTGTACCTGATAATTTGATATAATCTTCTGCCTGTACTCTCTATGTTTCTGAATCTGATACACAACATAACCACACAACATCAACTATCTCATCTTAGGTGAATGCAATCACGAACTAGAATGGTGCACTATATACCGTAAATCACATCAAGCTGTTCACTGAACATTTTATTATGCTGTTTACTTCTGATAAATGATTTCCGTAACCATGAGTATTTTTGTCCATTGATTCTCTTTTGAATTATTCAATCCGAAGGACATAAATATAAAGAGGCGTGCCAAAACCACTTCCGTTTTACCATAAATATCCTCTTATACAGAGAAACATTTATAAGAAAATAAAGATGCATAGAAATGAGAATGAATATTGCCAAAGCACAACCCCTCCAGCACACAAAATTTAAATTTGAAAAAAAAGAAATTAAAAAAGAGGCTCAAGGGCATTTTCGTCATTCCAAATCACTTGCCCGTTAGAATTGGAACCTGCCCCTCAGCGAAACCCTAATTCAACGCCCAAATCGCAACAATCAGATCACAATTATAAAAAATAATGTAAGATTGAAAATTCCAAGCATCTTCAAGTCGCTTCCTTTTCCACCAAATTCCCAGCAACCAAACAGAATTTAACAAAAAAAAGGAGAAAAATTTGATAGAACATACTCTGTTGCGCTCCCCGGGAGGAAAGTACTTGAGCAGAATCTCCCTCATGAACTTGAACTTATCGTATCGGGGCTTCCCGAGCATGCTCGCCGGCAAGTACCGCTCGAGCGAGGTGAAAATCTCGGGGCTGAAATCCAATTGCATGTCGTCGTAGTCATCCGGATTGTGGTCATTGTTCGGGTTCAGCCTCAGCCTGGGTGACGGGGACGCGAACGCCGGACGCTTCGGTTCCTCCAACACGACGCCGTTCGCGGCCGCCGGCGTGCGGGGTTCGAGCGACATTTGGGGAGTGGATGGCGGAGCTGCGGAATCAGCCGGACGTTGGAAGGCGGAGGAGGAGGAGCATTGGGGGTGAGGGGGAGGAGGGTAAAATGGGAATTTAGGGTTTGGATATATGGGGAGTGGGGATTTCTTGTGGTGGACGTAAAATTTTTGGGGTGGGTGTTTGGTTGGAGTTAGGGTTTGCTGAGAGTTCAGTCTCTCTCTGCACTCCAAAGTTTCCAACTTCAAGCTCAGCGCTTTTATTTTTCTTTTATTTTTTTGTCTTAAAAAAATATAAAATGGTTGGAGGTAATTGGATCGATCCGGCCCAGCCCAACTTGTACTTCTTACTGGACTGAGACCTGCCCAAGAGAACTTTAAAGAAAAGCTTCCAGTATTATTTATTTTAACGGAAAACCACATTTTTACACTAAAAATTCAATTCTGGTACTATTCACTTTATCTTTTATTTTGTCCTTATTATTAAAACTCAAAGTTTTCAAGTCATTTTCATTAGTTTTCCACCAGCCCAACTTATGTTAATCCTACATGAACTTTTTCGTTTCTGCGCAAGTGGTTTCTTTGGTTGTAAATCGACCAAAATATAGAACTCGTTTGGAAGTGTTTTTTAAATTTATGTGGTCTAATGGTATTTATTTTTACTTGTAAGTGAGATATCTTAAGTTCGTTTCTCGACAATAGTGAATTTGAATCGCATTATAAGCGCTTGTTTAAAAATGCTTTTAAAATGACTAAAAGTGATCTTAGAAAAAAAAATGTCTTCTACTTGTCCCATGAAGCGCTTCAAGCGCTTTCTAGAATTCATTTGTGTTTTCCTACGAATTGGCTCCAAAAGCGCTTTCTTTTTTTGTCATTTTAAGAGCACTTTCAAACAAACCCGTATTCTAAAATCTTAGTCCAGTATAAACCCTTTTCTTTTGACGAAACATTTTTGCAGTTCATGCTTGAGTTTCCAGCTCTCGAAGCCGTTTTCATGACTTGGAATGTAAGGTTCAAAATCTTGCAGGCTCCTGTGTGGACAACATCCTGCAAAACTCTGTCTTGCTTCATTTGCATTCCTCGGATTGCTTTAGTTCCTGGTCGCAGAGTTTTTGCAAAACTGGAATATCAAATCGGCAGAGGAACTGAATCAATCCGAAGAAGAATGCGAAAGAATACAGTCTTGTGCTTAGAACCCGAAAAAGTTAACCGCAAGGGTAAAAGTCGGAAGTCGGAAGGGAGGGAGAGCATCTTCTTCTAAATGCAGCGAGAAAAGGTTTAAGATTAAGTTAACGCATCTGAACCTGTAAACGAGAATTTGAGAAAGGAAAGCCTACTTCATCGATGGCGATCGGAACATATTATCAGATCCCGCGCACCCTCGGGAATTTGACAGAGGTTTAAAGGATGGAAGACAATCAATCAACTGACTCACACACCTCAATCAAAACTTCACCCCGAGACGCCAAAATGGAGAAACTCAAACTCTTCTCGACATTTTGAGTTGTGTCCAAGTAAACTCAAACAAGAAAAGTTAAATCAAACGCAAGAAATGAACAAAAATTTAATGGAGAACTTTGCACAACGAAATTCAATAGATGTCTAATTTGTGCAATGGAACTCGATATCTAATCCTTTTGACAAACCAAGAAACGCAAAATAACATGATCTCTATTGGCACGAAAACTTAACACGACAAACTAATTAGATGCATATAAATGGGCAAAGGTAGGTTACACAACATCCGCCTAACAAACACAAAAACAAAGTTCAAATCCAAAGTAAACATCCAGAACCAGTACCAAAATTCGGAACAGAAATCCACCTCAAATGACATAGACTGCAACAGATGAAATTTCAAATATCTAAATCTATCTTACAGTAACTATGTCATCAATCTTCAAAATCATCCGCACGCACTCGGTGGCCAGAGTGATGGCACTTGTGCTGACGAGCAATGGCTGCACCACATTCTCCTCCAAGATGTTGGTAATCTGCCCCTTCCTCACATTAATCCCGGTGTTGATCTCTCCCTGTGCGTGGCGATTCCTCAGCTCAGTCACAATCGAAATTGGGTTCAACCCGGCATTCTCAGCCAGTGTATAGGGAACAACCTCGAGCGCCTCAGCAAACGACTTCACACAATAACCCTCCATCCCCTGCAGCACCTTAGCCCACGCCCCCAACTGCCTCGACAGCTCAATCTCTGGTGCACCGCCACCTGCAATCAAAAATCTCTTGCTCACCAAACACCTCACCACACAAAGAGCATCGTGCAGGCTCCGCTCCGCCTCATCTAGCACCAGTTGATTCGAGCCGCGAACCAGCACCGTGGTGGTCCGACCCATGTTCTGAATCCCTGTGATTTTCACAATCTTCCCATCACCAAGCGAAACCTCCTCAACCATATCAGCATACCCCAGTTTCTCGGCCCGGAAATGCTCGATATTCGCAATGGGCAAGCAATTCAGAGTCTTGGTGATGAACTCAATCTCATCTCTCTCCACATCCTTGATCACCAAGATCTTCGCTTTTGCCAAGTAATGCAAAGACAAATCAGTAACTGCATCTCTCAGAATACTCTTCTGAATCAGCAAAACGTTGCACCCGGTAGCCTTGATCTTTTTTATCATACTCAGAATGTAATTCCTCTCTTCCTTCAGAATCCTATCCATCTGAGTATAATCCGAGACGACAATGCTCTGCTCAATATCGGTTTTCGGTGGCGAAATCTGGAATTGAATCACAGCAATCTTGGCATTCTCCATCCTCGTCGGCCCACCGGCGGCGTGACTCGCCTTCTTATCAAAAACAAGTCCCTTCACCATCTCAGTATCGTCGACAGTTCCTCCGAGCTTCTTCACGATCCTGATGTCCCTAAGGTCCACTATCTCCGGCTTCGCCGGGTCCACCACGGAGAGCACGGCGTCCACGGCCATCGGCGCGAGCAGAGTCGAGTACTGGCTCACCACCTTGCTGTTGAGCGATGTGCTTGCAGACTTTACCAGCGAATCACGGTCTGTGAGCTCAACGGGGACGGCCATGGCGGTCAAGACGTCTACCGCTTTGGTGGACGCCTTGTGGAGAGAGTCAGAGATCACAGTCGGGTGGATGCCATGTGACAGAAGGACCTGGCACTGTTTCAGGAGAGCGCCAGCAATGACGACGACGGTGGTGGTTCCATCTCCGGCGGCAGCATCCTGGGACTTAGAAAGCTCGACAAGCATCTTGGCGGCAGGTTGGAGGACCTCCATCTTGTTAAGAATCGTGGCGCCATCGTTGGTGATGATAACCTCGCCGTTAGCGGTGGAGATCATCTTGTCCATGCCCTTGGGCCCCAGGCTGGTTCGGACGGCATCGGCGACGGCTCGAGCGGCGGTGATGTTGGCCTGGCGGATGTCCTCCTTGCGCTTGTTGTCCACATAGGACTCGGTCTTGGAGGAGCGCGGTTGGGAGATCACTGCCGGTGAAGCCATGGATGCTGGGATCGACGGAACCCTAACCCTAACTGAAATTTCAGAGATCGGTGGAGTGTATCGGGGTGAAAGACGCTAACTTGGTAAGGAAAAGGGCTTCAAAGTTCCAATTTTTGAAATGCTAGAGAGAGAATGGAAACCCTAGAGTCAGTGAGATGCAAGAGGGAGAGGGTTTTAGGTTATGAGAGACAGAGAGAGAGTGGAGAAGGGCTCTAGGAATTAGACGAAAATGGCCTTGTTGGGAGGGAGTGTTTGACACGCGCGTAGTTTGGATTGGATCGGTTTTATATAAATGGCGGTTCAATCAATTTGATATGATTCTATACCGGGTCATCCGTTAAGAATTTAAATGATCAGTTCTCTTATCAGGAACTTGTTAGTAAATTAGGTCATTCAAGTTGGGTCGTTATTCGGTTACCCATTAATAAGTTGGCCATTTTGTTAGGAGGAAGCGTTTGACACGTGCGTGGGGTGGACGAGATCGGTTTTATATAAATTGTGGTTCAATCAAGTTGATATGATTATGTATCAACATATCACCCGTTAAGAATTTAACGAGTAGGATTTGTCATTAAGAACTTTTTAATAAACCAAGTCGTCTGAGTCGAGTCGTTATTCAATTACCTATTAACGAATTAAGTTATTATCTTTTTTATAGGAGAGTTGAGTAATTATCGAGTCATCTGTTAAAAACACAATACGATATTGTTTGTCAAATTTAGATATTAAACGTGATAATTCTTACATGACTCATTAAACCCACACCAAACAATTATGCCCGTTAACAAATTAGGCCGTTATCGGGTCACTTGTTAAAAATTCGTTAAAATAACGTCTTTTTATTTTTATTTTTATTTTTTATCCAGGTATCTCCGCACGTAGGCGAGAACTAATCTCTCGAGCTAGGTCGAATCCCATTTTGAAGGGCAAGCTCTCCCAATGTTGGCTTCTCCATTCACAAGACTCGAACTCGAACTCGAGACCTTGCTTAAGGGGAATAAGCTCCTTACCACTTGAATCACCAAGCATTGGTTAAAATAACGTCTTTTGACGCAACACAACCCATTAAGATAACCAATAGTACTGAAATTGCTCTGCTTTGTTCTATTTATATTTTTTTGCTTTTTATTTTTATCTTCGAGGAGGGCTGGACTGTAATTTTATTTATTGGTATTTATTTTCTTTTAATAGATAAAAGAAAAAACAGAGTCCAGCTCCAGAGTCATGACGTAAAGGCTCTCAGCGCCACTTCTCTCCAACCAACACCCACACCGTCCCCTGTCAAAAACTCTAATCCCTGCAAAAAATGGAGCCCAACCCTCCCTAACTACTCCAACTGACAAAGCTCACAACCGCCATAACCACCTTCTTCACACACCCCCAACCCCACAACCATGCCGTACTCCGCCCTCTTCCAGGGATATATATTCAGGACCACCACCATGTCCCTCAAACCCTCCACCACTTCCACCACTACCGTTCTCGTCTCTCTCCGCGGGACCCACCACCGCCGCCACCACGTAACTTTCGTAAGGCCGTCGATGCTGCTGGGATGCTCCATGAGGAACAGCCGGTACCACCACACGCAATGCCTTGCTCCGCCGCTGAATTGGAATGCGTGCTATTATCTGCCGCGTCATGTGGGGGACGTCGCGTGCCAGGCATCGTCTCGGGCGGTGGAGCTGGATTGGAAGCAGAGGAAGCAGCTGAGGAGTTCGGCGGTGCCGTTTTACCAGCAGAATTTGAGCTATGGACGGTTTGCGTACCAGGACGCCTCCGCGAGTGAGGAGTCCGACGCCGAACTGGGGTCGTCTCAGCGCCAAATGGTGAGTTCTGCTCTGCTCGTTTTGTTAAAAGTGTTGATTACTTGAATTGGGAACTTTGATTGAGTTGCTTTCGGAATGAAGATTTCATTTTTAACCTCAAAATCTCGCAATTTTTACTAGTCGAATTGTCGTTCGCATTGCTTTCCATCATTGTTAAATTCAAATGCAATGTAGCTGCCAATGAACGTAGGGTAGACCGTAGAGCTTAGGCATCAGTATATGTTTTTGAAGCATGGAGCTTTTTCGGACTTTCGATTAGCACCTGACAAAGTTGTTAAGTGTAGCACTTTTTTAAGCACAGCTGAAACCTGTTATTTTTCTCATCATTCTTCTTAATTGTAAAGGTTGTGACTTTTACTTGTTAATATATGATTAGGGTGGTTCGACCCTTGATAACATTGACGAATGGAGATGGAAGTTAACCATGCTTCTTCGCAACAAAGATGAGCAAGAATTGGTGTCCAGGGAAAGAAAGGATAGACGCGATTTTGATCATCTTTCAGCACTGGCAAGTAGGATGGGTTTGCATAGGTACGTCAGTTTAGCAAGCGTACAGTTATTATGTGTCCAAAATTGTATGTATTCTGATTCTTAATTTTCTTAAGCAGCCGTCAGTATTCTAGAGTTGTAGTATTTAGCAAAGTTCCTCAGCCAAATTACAGACCTGATCTGGACGATAAGCGGCCACAAAGAGAGGTACTTTCTTGCATGTTTATGCTCTATTTAGTTTAATTCATGCATGGAAAGAAATGGATGACGTTCTTTCCTTTGAACATTTGTGAAACAATTGCTCTCTAGTCTATGATGTGGGCCCTGAATTATTTGTTAATTTTGGTGCACATGTTATTGAAGTTACAAAGTCTTTTAGGCAACATATTGTTTTAAACTTTTTGAAGCGTGTGTAGGTTGTCTTACCTTTTGGACTTCATAGAGAAGTAGATGCTCATCTCAAAGCCTACCTATCTCAAAAGCCAATGAGCCAAGGAAATGTATCAGACCTTTCCTTATCAAGATCAAACAGTAGTAGAAGCATAACTAATGATGGAGGACATTATGAGCAGCAGGAGCCCTTGATACAGAATACTGATGCCATGGAGAAAATTCTTCAGCGGAAAAGCTTGCAACTGCGTAATAGGCAACGACATTGGCAGGTTATTTTTCCTTTCCTTTCCTTTTGTGACCATGATTCAGGCGGGAAGTTGATCTTTTTTGCTTTTTGTTAGTTCTTCTGTTTAGATGTAGGAAACAATGCACAGCTTCCTCTGTGAATTTTTTTTTGTTGTGTCTTTCTATAGTTTGACTTTGAGATGCAGCTTTTGTTCTCTTCATGTAGCTTTATAGTAGATTTGTAGACTTTTAAAAACATCCATATTGACATGTCAAGCCCTATACAGGAATCTCCAGAAGGTCAAAAGATGCTTGAACTTCGTAAAAGTCTGCCTGCATACAAGAAGAAAGATGCGTTGTTAAAAGCTGTGTCAGAAAATCAGGTGAGTTGTAATTTATTACTTCTACAATTGGTTACGGATGATTGCTTTTGCTCACCAGCATAGTTAAGTTTTTTTCTTCACATTATGTTGAGCAGGTCTTAGTTGTCTCAGGCGAAACAGGTTGTGGTAAAACTACGCAGCTCCCTCAGTACATTTTAGAATCTGAGATTGAAGCTGATCGCGGAGCGTCCTGCAGTATTATTTGTACCCAGCCTAGACGGATATCTGCCATGGCTGTTTCTGAAAGAGTTGCTGCAGAACGAGGGGAGAATCTGGGGGAATCTGTAAGTTACTGTTTTGATGACATAGATTTATCATCAAGGTGTTAGGCTCAATTTATTTCTTATCTTTTTTTATTTCACTTGGTTGTTGATCATTTATCTTTTTTCTAGCTGATTTGAACTTAAATCTCTCCCTATGGTAATAGGTTGGTTACAAAGTTAGGCTTGAAGGGATGAAAGGGCGGGACACCCGGCTTCTTTTTTGCACCACTGGTATATTATTGAGGAGATTACTTGTTGACAGAAAGTTGAGAGGTGTTACACATGTCATTGTTGATGAGATTCATGAACGCGGAATGAATGAAGGTAATTTTCAATTTTGGAAAGTAAATTTGTTGATTGGTATTTCTAATGTGGTGTTAAGCAAAGCCTTGCATTTATTTCAGATTTTCTTCTTATTGTTCTGAAAGAACTTCTCCCTCGCCGGCCAGAGTTGAGGTTGATTTTGATGAGTGCCACCCTAAATGCTGAGCTTTTCTCCTCCTACTTTGGTGGTGCTCCAATGATCCATATTCCCGTAAGTTCAGGGAACTACGCTTATTTTTTTTTCGTCTTTTTAATCAACTCATTTCTTTTAATTATCTGTGCCATGTACCCAAACTGTCGTGTAGCAATCTATGATCATCATTGTGTATTCATGTCAATATAGCATGATCTTAGGTGATTCCAGGTGCCATTTGTATTGCAAGTACAAAGCATTTCCTGATTCCTTCAGTGAATCCACTTTTGATTCAATTACATTTGTACATCTGTGGCATGCCAGTGTTGCATCGTTTATTTTCTTGATTACGTTTTGATAGGGATGTTATCAGCATAAGGTATACTGGACCCATTTGATTTTGGTGTTGGGCATTGCTGTATTTACAGGGGTTTACATACCCAGTCCGAGCACATTTTCTGGAGAATATTCTAGAAATGACTGGGTATCAGTTGAATCAATATAATCAGATTGATGATTATGGTCATGAAAAGTCGTGGAAAATGCAGAAACAAGCTCAAGGTTTCAAAAAGAGGAAGAGCCAAATTGCTTCTAGTGTTGAGGTATAGAAAATTTGTGTCTTATTTAGTTTGCGTTGCAATCCCCTAGGTTGTATTTAATTTTTTTGTCCCCTTTTGAACAGGATGTACTTGAAGCTGCTGACTTTAGGGAGTACAGTCCAAGGACTCAGGAGTCTCTGTCCTGTTGGAATCCTGACTCCATTGGTTTTAACCTCATTGGGAATCTTCTTTTACACATAGTCAGGAAAGAACGGCCTGGCGCAATTTTGGTTTTTATGACGGGTTGGGATGACATAAATTCCTTGAAGGATCAACTCCATGCTCATCCCCTATTAGGAGATCCTACCAGGGTCCTACTGCTAGCATGTCATGGTTCCATGCCTAGCTCTGAGCAGGTGATGTCACTGTTCTTTTGTGTTAATTCTCATTGCATAGTGCATACAAATACTACCATGGTCTCGTGATGGAAAAACACTGGATAATGAGCATTTTGACTTTCTCGATCCTCTAAGGATTCTTGTACTGAGGAGCTAATCAATACTTCATTACAGCTTCATATTTGTTCAATGAATCTTTTGATGCTGTCACTTGAAAAATTTAAATGGGACTCTATCATTTTTGGGTTGTTATTCTTCTTCTTGTAGTTCAAGGAATGGATTAATATTTTATTAAAGGTCATTTTTTGTTGTCTTTGTAAACAGAAATTGATATTTGATAGGGCAGAAGATGGTGTTCGGAAAATAGTTCTAGCTACAAACATGGCTGAGACTAGTATCACTATCAATGATGTAGTTTTTGTTGTTGATTGTGGAAAGGCGAAAGAGACATCATATGATGCACTAAATAACACTCCCTGTTTGCTTCCATCCTGGATTTCAAAGGCTGCTTCTCGGCAAGTAAGACAGTCTGACAGTTTCCATATCAATTTGATTATTTTCTAGTTCATGGTTGGATATTCTGATATGATGCAAAGCATGAGTTTGTACTGACTGTAATGCTTCTTAGTTAAACCGTGCAATTATTTTTGTTTTGTGGTACTCAAACTTTCACTGAAAGTTGCTCTCTTACAAGGAGATTTAATACACATGGGTTGACAATATTAATTGACGCCTTTAATCTGTAGAGGAGAGGCAGAGCTGGTCGTGTTCAACCTGGCGAGTGTTACCATCTCTACCCCAGATGTGTATATGATGCCTTTGCTGATTATCAGTTGCCTGAACTTTTGAGGACTCCGTTGCAATCTTTATGTTTACAAATCAAAAGTCTACAACTTGGAAGTATTTCAGAGTTCCTATCTAAGGCCTTGCAGCCACCGGAACCTCTGTCGGTAAATTTCTATCCGAGTACTCTCAGATTATTCTTTATAAAACTTGCATGGGAGGTGATAGTCTTGTGTTGCTTTTGAACTATATCTAAAATTAACAATGTGAATTATCATAGTTTGACAAATAAAATAGGTGAATTAAGATAAAATTATTCTTAATAGTGTAATCTATGCATATCTTCATATCAATCCTCACAATTTTTTTTGTTTTGTTTTGTAGGTTCAAAATGCTGTTGAGTATTTGAAGATCATTGGGGCTTTAGATGATAATGAAGATCTGACAGTGTTAGGTAATGAATGATTACCAAAGCTGTTTTAAATTGTGTGTTGATTTGTCTGCAAGTCAGAAAGATTAACGATTTCATGCTGTGCAGGACGTCACTTGTCAGTGCTTCCTGTTGAGCCTAAACTTGGAAAAATGCTCATATTAGGGTCTATTTTCAACTGTCTGGATCCAGTAATGACTGTTGTCGCAGGCCTCAGTATGAGAGATCCATTCCTTATGCCGCATGACAAGAAGGATGTAAGCATGATGTAGTGTTCCTTTTTACAGTTTGCTGTTGCGTATATTATAATGGTGTCTCCCATCCCCTGGCACGCCATCATATTCCTGTCTCGTTTGAAAACTGATCTTTTCACCAACTTAATAATCATAGTTGAGCATCGACTTTTATCCTTTTCACTAACATTCAAAGTAAAGAGACATGCAAAGAAGTTAACAGTAGTCTGTTATTGTATGTCTTTTTTTATATATTAAAAAATATCCCTAAACACAGTTCTCTTTCTGTTTTTTCCTGGGTAATCAACAAGCATAGGTTCAATAGTAACCATGTAATTTTCAACTTGTGTAGCTTGCAGAGTCGGCAAAAGCACAGTTCTCTGCTCATGAAAACAGTGATCATCTTGCTCTCATCCGAGCTTATGATGGTTGGAGAAGTGCTGAAAGAACACAGTCTGGCTATGAGTACTGCTGGAGAAACTTCCTTTCTGTGCAAACTCTGAAAGCCATTGACTCTCTTCGGAAGCAGTTCTTCTTTTTGCTCAAGGATGCAGGTCTGGTTGACCATAATACAGAAAACTGCAATACATGGCGCCATGATCAGCATCTTGTCCGAGCAGTCATCTGTGCTGGATTATTCCCTGGAATATGCTCTGTTGTGGTAAGTTGTTATGCATTTCTTATAATGTTTGTATATTTTTCATCTTCTAATTTTTTTTATACGCATGAAAAGAAACTATTTGTCTTAATAGGCTCTTTTACTCTGTACAATATACAAAGAAAGGAGTGATATGCTCAAGTGAGCAAAACAGAGTGATAAGAGGGTGTTGTGATCTTCACATTTCGTTGAATCGATTCCCCAATAGATATGTCCAAGTTAACAAAAACTGTGATAAAGGGGGACATGATTCTTCAGATTAAGTTGAATTTCTGAATGGCCACTGATTTTGTTTGCATCTGTTTTGCTTGTGGATGGCTTGTCTTTTCTCATTTATTGTATATGTTGTGCAAACGTTCCGCAGAACAAAGAGAAGTCGATTATGCTGAAAACACAGGAAGATGGACAAGTGATGCTGTACTCGGTTAGTTTCTTGTCTTTGGTTGAATTCATGTTTCCTTGTATTGCTTGAAGTTTTCCGTTCTAATTGTGTATGATGACACATTTTCTGTTTTGTTTTTTATTATCTATCTATCAGAGTTCTGTCAATGGAAACATACCCAAAATTCCATATCCATGGCTTGTCTTCAACGAAAAGGTGAAAGTGAATTCGGTTTTTCTCCGGGATTCAACTGGTATATCTGATTCTGTGCTCCTTTTGTTTGGAGGCAACATTTCCAGGGGTGGTCTGGTGCGTTTATTGATCTTGGACATGATTGTTACTTTTTTTGTGTTTTCTTCGTGAAAAAATAGTAAATACTCCTCCTTGCTTTTGGTAGGATGGGCACTTGAAGATGCTGGAAGGATACTTAGAGTTTTTCATGAATCCCGCATTAGCAGAAACATATCTTTGCTTAAAGAGGGAGCTTGATGAACTGATCCATAATAAGGTTTGTATTTATCTTCAGCATTTGTCACAGTTCTTGACTTTATCACTTGAATCTGGACCTGTTCTTCCTCGATGTCTCTCCTCTCGTCTCTCTCTCTCTCTCTCTCTCTCTCTCTCTCTCTCTCTCACATACACACACGCAAGCACACACACATGAACAGTCACTCCATTTACTGCTAAATGCTAACATGGGGATGCGTTCTTTGTAAGCAGCTCCTGAATCCCATATTGGATATGCAATCACACACGAACCTCCTATCAGCGCTAAGATTACTGGTCTCAGAGGATCAATGTGAGGGTAGATTTGTATTTGGTCGCAAGGTGCCAGTGCCCTCAAAGAAGGCAACACAAGAGAAGGTACCAAAGTTAAAAGGCACCATGAAGAAAGTTGCGGAGAACAATAATTACAAAAATCACCTCCAAACATTGCTCACCAGAGCCGGGCATGATGCACCCACCTACAAAACAAAACCATTGAAAAACAACCAGTTTCGTTCCACAGTGATCTTCAATGGGTTGAACTTTGTAGGCAAACCTTGCAATAGTAAGAAAGAAGCAGAGAAGGACGCAGCTGCTGAAGCTGTACTCTGGTTAAAGGGAGGGAATCATTCATCATCCACAGATATTGACCATATGTCGATGCTGCTTAAGAAAAGTAGAAAGAAAATCCAGAAAGGGACCTCATTTGATAGTGCCAAATGGGGTTAAGGGTTGCTCGTCATATAGTGGAGTTAGGCATACAATCAAAAGCACAATCAGTGGCAAAGAGCTGCCCGAGGCTGGTCCAACTTGAAAGATTAGGGTGAATAAACATTGAACATCAATCTTCTAGGCCGTTGAGCTACATTCAGAATAGAAGCTACATTGTATAGAATCTATGATCAGTTTTGGCATTTGCAGATCCATATTTGGAAAGGGGGTGATATAGGACATTCTTTATCGGCAGATGCGCCCATTTTTGGAAACGGGTGATTTGGCACATTCTTCGTAGGGTATGGAGAATGTACCTTGTTCTGTCGAAGTAGTGGATTATTCTACAAGTCTTTTTTTACGGCAGCTTATGGATCTCACTGACCCATGGCTACTGCTGGGCATGGGTCAAAGAGCTGCATCTTGTCTGCATCTTGTATATATTTGTATCGGTAGAGCAGTCTTAGGGTTGTATCTGTAAAGCAGCAGCTTATTATTTAATTTTAGACAGGGAAAGCATGGCGGAGTTTGCCTATGCCTGCGCTAGAACTTGTAGCTCGGCACACACCGGTCAGTTTTGGCCTCCCGTGGCTGGTAATGCCATTGAACTTATTGAACGCTGTCCTCATGATTTTATAAATAACATAGAAATTTTCTTTTCCGATGACATCTGCTGCATGAACTCTGTTCGAACTAAGCGGCATTGAATACCGTGATCCGGGCTTATCCCCTGATCGAGCTGCTCACCTTCGATTACTTGCTGAGAGCTGTTTGTTTGCTGGACTTGCAGCACCTCCCAACCAAGACCCGCTGACAGTTGCAAATTCACTGCGAGTAAATGAAAGTTAGACATCAAACATATCATGTTAGTGTGGTCACATAACTTTCTTGCAACACAAGTTCGAAAAAAGGTAGGTTTATCCACATACAAGCTGATAGATTCAAACAAGGTTTGAAAACCGCGCAGAAATATAATGCTATGAGCAAGCAGGAAGCAAATGCTCCTTATCGGAACCTCTTCTGCTGAAGGCGAAAGAGGTTTCTGGCAAGTATCAAACCGTTCTTCATTTTTAACTCGACTTTTATATAACTCAACACTCTCTACCCAAAATACCAAGATCACATCTGCATAAACATGCTTTAATCTTTGTTAAGAAATGTAATCTGGTGTAGGAGGAGATTGAAGATCAAAGATCGAATACGAAGTAGGAGGCTAAATTATGAATGTTATGGTCAATTCAACGTAAGCAGTTTTGTTAGAAACCTGATTAAATAGGTATGTTCATGAAAGCTAATTGATCCAAACAGAAAAGGGAGCTAAATAAATTCAGATAACAGCATCACTAAATTCTTTATATAACAGAAACCGAAGCGAGACCAAACATCAAAACCCACCACCGTGCTCAGCCATTCAAACCTACAGATCGACCGCTGCATAACATTAAAACCATGGTGAAGTTATCCAGTGCCTTTCCAAAGAAAAAGCATGAATTTAATCCAGAAAAAAAAAAAAAAAAAAAAAATTTGAGAAACAGAAACGAGATGGTTTTTATTTTTATTTCAAAGAAATGGTGTTATCGTGGTGACGATCGTCAAATGAAGTAAGAAAACAGAAAGATTTAATCTGCTCAATAGAGGCACTAGCTGCATTATTATGTTTCTCCCAACTGTTCGGCGCTTGTTGGCCGAACCTCTCTGGTCACGTTCGGCAGCTCAAGTCTAATTTGTAGTCGTTCTGTTCTGTGTCATGTAGTGGGTTGAATTTTGTAGGGAAGCCAACCTTGCAATAGTAAGAAAGAAGCAGAGAAAGATTCAGCTGCCGAAGCTGTATTTTGGTTGAAGGGAGAGAACCATTCGTCTTGCACAGCACATGTACCGATCACATGTCGCAGATTATTCTGCACAGGTTTTTTTACAGCTGCTTACAGATCATTCAAACCGAGCCTACTGCTGTAAGGTTCAAACGCCAAAATTATCCCTGCCTTTTACTCACTTGACCAATTCAGTCCCGTGTTTTCAATTTATCCAATTTGGTTCGCGTCTTTTCGCTACTACCCTAAACATGCTTCCACAATTTCTTTACAAACTAACAAAGGAGATTTGGGAACCAATGGCATTAAATATTAGGATGCATTTTTCTAAATTGAAACAAACGATATTGGGAGATGGGGAAAGAACTCGGGTCTTCAGGTGCAAGTGTAAATGTTCATGAACAAATAACCTATAAGTACCTCGCAAATACTCAACAATGGGATGGCTTACTGATGCAGAAGTTCAAGGGATTTATTCAAACTGGTTCTAAACCTTTCGACGTTAAGCGTTTACATTTTGTGCATTCAGATAAGTTTACTTGAAGGCTTGCCATCCTTGCATTCCATTCTTATTCGGGTCAATTTTCAGCGTGCTCTCATTGCTGTTGATCTTATATTCCAAATACTCGATCTTCATATCCCTCCAAGGCTCTCCGAAGTAGTTTGTTGCAATCCATTCGAGCGGAAGTATTTGGACAAGAGCTGCATTTTCAGGGAGGAACATAATGTTTGTGAGGGCAGCTCCATGAACCCCCCCAATAACACATCACAAAAGTTCACAGCTTCTGCAATCCTTGACATGTTCCTACCAGCGTTCGTATCATTTACCTTGTCGCCCAAACTTCTAGCCATCTTAGTAATTTGTCTCGGATTGGTGAAACACCTGGTGCTCCTTCTCGATATGATGAGAAGCTGGGGCTTTTTACGCCGGCCACCACCTCTGATTCTGGTTGCATTGGCCCTCTTTAGTGAATAAGTTTTTCTTAAGAAACGCTCATTAGGCCAGAACAGTGACGAAAATCGGTGATGCTTTAGGCGGCCACCTAGGCGGCCGCTAGGCGCCCTAGGCGGTCTAGGCGGCGTTAGGCAGAGCTAGGCGGTTTGAATTTTTGTTTAATTAAAACTTAATTTGATTGGGTCTATTTTTCGCGTCGGTTGTCTTTCTCGCTGTGCACAGACTCAGACACATTGACAACCCTAATTTCTTCCGAGTTCTCTCTCGCGGCTCGCCGTCGCTTGTGCTCTGCTCTGCTACTTCATCGCTGGCCGTCTCTTCATCTCTGGTTAGTCACAATCTGGTACGTGGTAACCTTAGCATCTGCATCACCGATTCATAGAAACCCATGTTCCATTTGGTAGATTTTTTACTTGGACCATTTGTTTAATGGTAACCTTAGCTTCTGTATCGCTTTGCAGAACAAAAGCTAATCCAATTGCACCAATCCACGGTTCACCATCATCTCGCATCTGATCTGAGGCTCCGGCTCTGCGCACTGCAATTTCGTTCAGTCTCCTCTCCTCTCCAATTTCATATTCTCCGAGTCTCTGACTCCATCTGTAAGTCTCTCCCCTTCTCTGTCAAATTGTGAAAGAGCACTGCATTACAGACTTACAGTAGTGCTGCCTGCAATAATACAATTTCATGGACGACTTTGATCACTGCAAATTTCTACGTCTAGTGTGTTGCTCGAGGAGCCGAGCATTTTGTTAATGTCGAGATGGAGCCTTGATAGTTATGCAGTTAGTCTAGTATGGTACAAATTTGTTTGAATTTTATTGATGTTGGAACTGGTACTGTGTTTGGACTGTACTATGTGTATATAAATGCTCCAATTATCAGAGTCTTTTTCTTAGTGTTGATATTAGAACTTTGACGCAAAACTTAGCGTAACGAAATTTTAGAATTCATACAGTCGATCTTACTTAGTGGAATAAAGTTTTGTTGTTGTTATTGTTCTTGTTAGTTCTCAGTCTCGGGTACTTTGTTTCCATAAGTTAGCTTATGTCGTTTTTGTTTCGTGATCTATCTGTTTGTTAATTTGTGTTTCTGTATGTATCAGCATCAGCAATTATACAATTGCATAATTGCATGACTGCAAGTCTGCTAGTCCTATCCTTCTATAATTTTATTTTGGAGTATATTAGGGATGTGATGAGTGCAAGATAAATTATATAAGAATTTGGAACATAAGTTAATGTGATGTGGTTTTATCTGTAGATAACGGGCAGTGTATCTTCTGAAGTATCTAATACAATGTCGTCCTCTCAATTAAATAGTTCGTTAAAGCGTGCTTTAGACGATGTGGCATGGGAGTATGGGGTCTTGGTGAATCCTACAAACTTAGATAAGGTGCAATGTAAGTTGTGTAAGAAAACAATTAGTGATGGAGTATATAGAATGAAACAACACATTGCCAACATCAAGGGAAATGTAGCCGGGTGCTCAAAGTCTTTGGACGAGGATAAAGCAAAATGGAGAGCCACATTAGAAGAGGCAAAAAATAAGAAGAATGAAAGAAGTAAGCATAATGAGAATGTGAGGGGAAATGTTCAACTTAAACATATTGAAGAAGAAGAAGACATTAAAGTTGTTGGGTCAAGGAAAAGCCCGTGCACTCTTGGGCCTATGGATAAGTTTGCATTCACTATCAATCTCGGTTCCTCAAATGACGGAAGCAAAGGGACGCAACAACAAAATATCAATGATGCAATTTGGAAGCATAGAACACATCAAGTGAATCAATATTTAGCTCGATGGGTGTATGAAGCCGGTATCCCTTTTCATGTTATTGATAATGATAACTTTAAACTTTTTTTGGAAGCAGTTGGTCAATTTGGTATGGGTTATCAACCTCTAACCCAATATGATTTAAGGGAACCATTGTTGAAAGAACAGGTGGAGAAAGTCAAAAATTCACTTAAGAAGCATGAAGAAGAGTGGGCTCTGAATGGTTGCTCAATTATGACCAATGCTTGGAGTGAAAAAAATGGAAGAAGCAAAATGAATTTGTGTGTTAATTGCAAGAAAGGTACGGTATTTCTTTCTTCCAAGGAATGCTCGACCGAGACACACACCGGGGAGTACATCTTAGAATATGTTGACAAGTGTATTGAAGAAGTTGGGCCATTAAACGTAGTTCAAGTGGTGATCGACAGTGCTTCTAACAACATGGTAGCGGCTAACATGATGAAGTTGAAGAGGCCAAACATGTTTTGGACATCATGTGCCACTCACACTTTGAACCTCATGATTCAAGGAATTGGGTGTCTACCTAGGTTCAAAAGAGTGATCGACAAGGCAAAAGCTTTTACTATCTTCATTTATGCACATCATAAAACATTGGCGTTAATGAGGAAGTATACGAAGAAAAGAGACATAGTGAGGCCCGGGATTACTAGATTTGCAACTTCTTTCCTAACTTTGTAAAGCTTGAGTGATAAGAGAAAGGACTTGATGATTATGGGTTTTAGTGATGAATGGGAACAATGCAAACATTCCAAGAGTACAAAGGTTAAAATGGCATATGCTATCATGGTGAGTGCACATTTTTGGGAAGGGGTCTCACTTTGCTTGAAGGTGTTTGAACCTTTATTTAAGGTGCTTCGACTTGTGGATGGTGGCAAAAAACCCTCAATGGGGTTTTTGTACGAAGAGCTACAAAAAGCAAGGAATGAGATTAAAGAGGCATTAAAAAATAATGAGGCCAACTATAGACAAATTCTACAAATTATTGATGAAAAAGCTCATGATCGGCTTGATGGACCATTACATTTGGTGGCTAACTTCTTGAACCCTTATTACTTCTTCAAAGATCAAAGCATTCAACATGATCCACTTGTCATGGACGCCATGTTTACTTGTGTTGAGAATTTCTTCCCTGACAACTATGAAGTCCAAAATCAAGTAATAAATATAGAGATGCCAAAGTATAAGAAAAAAGAGGGTGGATTTGGAAGACATTTGGCCGAGATTGGATGCATAGAGAATGATGACAACTATGATCCAAGTATGAATATTCATATACTCTTACTTATTAATAACTTTCCAAAACTAATTATTTTTCTTTACTAGTCTAACTGTTTTTATTTACTAGTCTAATTCTAATTGTGTACTTTGTGCTTCTTTAGTTTCATGGTGGTGTACGTATGGTAATCGTGTACCTAATTTGTAAAGAATTGCTATAAAGATTCTCTCATTGACTACAAGTTCATCCGGGTGTGAGAGAAATTGGAGCACTTTTGAGGGGATACATACAAAGAAAAGGAATAGCCTAGATACAACAATGTTAAATAATTTGGTCTATGTCCAATACAATGCAAAGATCATGACCAAGAAGAAAAAAGAAAATGAGAAGAAAATGGATATACTACTTGCTAGTGAAGCTAGTATGGTGCAAGGATGGATTGTGGAGGGTGGTGATGAAGAAGTTGAGCTTGATTTGGGAATGGATGCAGAGGCATTAGAGGTGGATACTTCATAGGAGGAGTTATAGAAATGTTGAAGTAAGAGAACTTTATGAAGAAGATTTTGTATCAGATGAAGACATGGAAGAAGAAGGAGATGATGAGGAAGTTGAGTTTGAGTTGGAGAAAGTCTTCAAGGGATATGGAGAAGAAGAGATTGAGGCCTAACTTTACAACTTTACAAGTATCTTATATTATTATATATCTTTTTATTCCTTTCATTTTGCATTTTATGTGTTTTTGAATTGCAAACTTATTGGATACATGTAATATCCAAGAACACTTATTATGATTATATGCTTAACTTTTTCACCTTATTTTATTTTCAATAAATCATAGTACTTTATATATTCTTGTACTTCTATTTTGTAATTTATTAATATTTTATTCCTAATACAAGTATTTTTTTTTTTTTGAAGTATAGATAGACACACACACACACACACATATATATATATATATATATATGTTGATATACATAAATTTAAATCCTTGACACAGCACAAAGCAAGGAAAGGGTTACCAGCGTAATCCCTTGTAGAACAAAGTTATTGGAGTCCACCAGTTTGATAGAAATCCCAAAGGATTATTTGATTAATTGATTGAAAGGTGAAAAGAGGATTACAAAGCCATGGCTTAAATAAGCCTTTTACAACCTCTTAGAAAACTCAAAAGACTTAGGAAATTAAAATGAAAATAACTGACATATAATATAGCCCTTGAAACCCCAAAAGACTCCATTTATTAGTAGACTGCTGTTTTGATGACTTTCTGCAAAAGATGGCTTAAGCCACTTTTGTGGGAGAATTGTTTTAACGAATTTCTGTGAAAAATGGCTTAAACCACTTTTATGGGAAAATAACACCTCTTTTATGATTGTGCCTCTTTGTCTTCTGACAGTCCATCTCCTCCTCGATCCATTCTGCCATTTGTTCTACATCAATCCGTCACAAGTTTTCATCGTTGTTTTCAACAAGTTCTTCTTCTTCTCCTTCTTCAAGAACTCGACATCCATTATGTAATTATATTTCTTATCATCGTATAAAACTTTTGGTAGTTGGGCTTATTTGTCTCTACAGACCATCAACGTTTAGAACCCGTCCATTTTTATGGGCCAAGTAGAACCCAAAGTCCATGGTTTGGGGACATTTGCATGAGAAACTAAGTCCAACCATTTAATCTCAAGTGAAAACCCAACAATCAGGCCCTGTGAAAGAATACAAAATGAAGCTGCACATTTGTCGTGTCTGGAGCCTTTATAACTTGATTCCACTTCAAGGAGGGGATATTAGGAGGAGTTCTTGTGTGCGGCAGTCATATAGGCCACCACACTCACAGACGTAATGTTAAAAAAAATAAAATGTGCAAATGTGAGTTAGGTCATTAACCAATTTTAATTATTTTTCTGCTTAAGTATTATATTGAGTTAGGTCGTTGACCAATACTGTGTTCGTCTATTTGTTTCCGCGTTTCATCCATCTTCTTCTTTCTTTTTCATTTACAGTTATGAAACATTTGTGGTTCACAGGGTTGCCTACAAGAGCTGTGTGGTTCTTGTCGATTGTGTGTTTTAGTTCTTCTAGTTGGTGTTTATGTTTCGGTGTGGACGAGATCGATAATCTTTTTGTTCTTTACAGTGACAAATTCAGACATAATTTTTTTTGTTCGTGATTTTGTCGAGACTTCGACCAAAGTACAATGATACACCGATTGAAGCTATTGAACCCCAAGACGTCGTAGAAATTTGACAACTTCTACTAAAAAGTTCAAATAATAATTATACACCAAGATCAAATGAAGATTAATTTTTTTATGGTTCCGAATAAAGTATTTGATGGTATAAATTTCATAATATGGACTATTTAATGTTTTAATCTTCATTTGAAGACAATATATACAAAAAATCATTTCAATCGAATATCATTTAATTATTCAAATCTATAAAACAAATCGATATTGTAGTACTAAGTAATATATTCAATAAGTCTATTTATTTGATATATACAGATGATTAAATGGCCTCCAATTCGAATGATTTTTTGTATCTAAATAGATAAAGACTATAATTTTGATTGTAGTTTTTTTTTTTTTTTTTTTTAAATCAAGGTACGTTATTCGCAGACAAGAAGATAAATCTCTCTCCGGCGCTACCATGGCCCTTTCCTTCACTGCCGTCACCGGTTTCAGCTTGTTGGTAAGCTTGCCTCCCCTCTCCTATGATTATTGGTTCAATATTGCTTAAGCGCTTACCAGTTAGTAAGTTAATACTACATAGTACGCACCCTTTAGGCCACTACACATAATTATAATATGATTGTCCGAACCGCCCATACTTTTTAGGTCATCACTGAACTAACACCCCCATTCAGCTTTATGGATACTAGGGTTTGCAACTTTGTGTTGAAGTTACAACCCTTTTTCCAAGTTGAAACCAGTTGATCTTTCTATAAGTTTCTGATAATCTTTCCTGTTTTTGATTCAAACAGATGGGCATGTCAAGCGCACTGGACACATTATCCGGCCAGTGCTATAGTGCAAAGCAGCACCGTCTGATGGGCATACATATGCAGAGAGCAATGCTTGTTCTTTCACTTGTTTGCATACCTCTTGCCATCATTTCCGCAAACACAAAAACAATCGTAATAGCTCTAGGCCAAAATGCTGCCATTGCAGCAGAAGCTGGGGAATTTGCACGATTCACGATCCCTTCCCTTTTTGCATACGGACTCCTCCGGTGCCTCGTGAGATTCTTACAAACTCAAAACATAGTGTTCCCGATGATGCTGAGCTCTGTGGTTTCAGCTTTACTTCACATCCCACTCTGTTGGGTTCTCGTGTTTAAATCCGGACTTGGAGGCAGGGGAGCTGCCCTGGCATATTCAATCTCCTTTTGGATCAATGTGTTATTATTGGCTCTTTATGTCAAGTTCTCTCCGTCATGTGCGAAAACTTGGACAGGCTTTTCAAAGGAGGCCTTTCACAACGTTACTACATTCATTAGGCTTGCTGTTCCTTCAGCCGTCATGGTTTGGTAATTTACTTATTTATATTTTTTTTGACGTTTCACAATGTTGGTACCTACCTTATTTTGTGTTATTTTGTGTACTACTAAGATCTGTTGTATGAGAGGCTAAGATGCTAATGCAGTTGACCATGAGTTGTAACAACTTGGAAATGTGGTCATTTGAAATGATCGTTCTTCTATCCGGTCTTCTTCCAAACCCAGAGTTGGAAACCTCAGTGCTTTCTGTCAGGTTAGTTCTTGACCGTGATGATCATTCTTCCATAGCTTACGTGTTTTAGACTATGATATATCCTGCACTTTTAACGTTGTTACTTATCAAATGCATCAATTTCCAGTTTGAATACAGCGGCAATGGTTTGGATGTTCACTTTCGGACTCAGTTCTGCTGTGAGGTGAGCTATGTTATGACACTCCTAAAACTATAAAGTCAATAAGCTCTTAAATTTTTCATGGCAATACTTTCTGACACATTGAGATTAAAGTGTGGGCTTACTTCTCTGTCTTGTTTCTAAGATTTGCAGCACTCGTGTCTCCAATGAATTAGGAGCAGGACGTCCAGAAACAGCGCGCTTAGCGGTCTGTGTTGTGTTAGTCATGGCCATTACCGAGGGTGTATGGTGGGATCGGTCCTGATACTGATATGCAACTTCTGGGGCTACGCTTGTAGCAACGAAACAGAAGTTGTTGATTGTGCCTATACTTGCAACATCCCACTTTATAGACGCCCTCCAGTGTGTTCTTTCGGGCACTGCCAGAGGATGTGGGTGGCAGAAGATTGGAACATATGTTAATGTCGGGCCGTACTACTTAGTTGGAATTCCTTCGGCTATTTTGATGGCTTTCGTCTTTCACATTGGTGGAAAGGTAAAGAGAAAAAAATGACCGAGAGAAAAGGGGTTTTCGGTTTTCTTCTTTTCCTTCCCTTCTATATAACTTTTGTCTGTCAAACTGTTTTGAATAGGGGCTTTGGCTGGGGATCATCTGTGCACTGGTTGTGCAAGTGTTGTTGCTTCTTATCGTAACCATATGCACAAACTATGAGAAAGAGGTCGCATTCCCTCTTGCTCTATCAGTCAATCAATCAATCTATCGATTGAAACACAAATTATACTTTTCCTCTTCGTCATGTGTGATTATTTCTAATATATTGTCGGTTTTGGTTAGGCAATTAAAGCTACAGAAAGAGTGTCCAACTCAACAGTTCATGTGGACATAGTGTCATGAAGCTGAACTACGATTGACAATAGATTCCACGTATACTAGGTGCTAACGTGTAACGAATACACCTTGGAAAATTCTTGCCAGTGTCAAAGGTGGTGCAACACGATATGCTTGACAATTGTACTTCTCAGTTTTACGGTCTTTATCACCATTACTGGCAGTGGATACTGAGGCTTGAAGATGCAGCTGATTAATACATGGTTCAATTTGGTACAATATCATGTAGTTAAAATTGTAAACTGCAATTAGGCAGAATAAAATCTTTCTTGCTTACAAAGAAATTCAAGAATATACTCCTATCCTACAAGGAGTTCATTTTTGCTAAAACGATTCAAAATATGCGTTTTCTTTTCGGTTTATGAACAAGAATAACATCTCCCAAATTCGATCAAAACAATGATTGCTTGCGGTTTTTACCAAAGAATGAGGATGGAATTAGCAAAGAACAAGAAATGAACATCAATTGTACTATATTCTCACTCAAAGCATTCCATTTTTGGTATTAAGAATATATACTTATGAGTGCTTTAATCCTTATGTGGCAAACTTATGTACTTATGTCGCAAACTTATGTACTTATGTCGCAAACTTATGTACTTATGTACTTATATAGACAAAAGTTATATACTTATGTCGCAACCATGATGCCTATACTTGCAACATCCCACTTTATAGACGCCCTCCAGTGTGTTCTTTCGGGTACTGCCAGAGGATGTGGGTGGCAGAAGATTGGAACATATGTTAATCTCGGGCCATACTACTTAGTTGGAATTCCTTCGGCTATTTTGATGGCTTTCGTCTTTCACATTGGTGGAAAGGTAAAGAGAAAAAAATGACCGAGAGAAAAGGGTTTTTAGGTTTTCTTCTTTTCCTTCCCTTCTATATAACTTTTGTCTGTCAAACTGTTTTGAATAGGGGCTTTGGCTGGGGATCATCTGTGCACTAATTGTGCAAGTGTTGTTGCTTCTTATCGTAACCATACGCACAAACTATGAGAAAGAGGTCGCATTCCCTCTTGCTCTATCAGGCAATCAATCAATCTATCGATCGAAACACAAATTATACTTTTCCTCTTCGTCATGTGTGATTATTTCTAATATATTGTCGGTTTTGGTTAGGCAATTAAAGCTACAGAAAGAGCGTCCAACTCAATAGTTCATGTGGACATAGTGTCATGAAGCTGAACTACGATTGACAATAGATTCCACGTATACTAGGTGCTAACGTGTAACGAATACACCTTGGAAAATTCTTGCCAGTGTCAAAGGTGGTGCAACACGATATGCTTGACAATTGTACTTCTCAGTTTTACGGTCTTTATCACCATTACTGGCAGTGGATACTGAGGCTTGAAGATGCAGCTGATTAATACATGGTTCAATTTGGTACAATATCATGTAGTTAAAATTGTAAAGTGCAATTAGGCAGAATAAAATCTTTCTTGCTTACAAAGAAATTCAAGAATATACTCCTATCCTACAAGGAATTCATTTTTGCTAAAACGATTCAAAATATGCGTTTTCTTTTCGGTTTATGAACAAGAATAACATCTCCCAAATTCGATCAAAACAATGATTGCTTGCGGTTTTTACCAAAGAATGAGGATGGAATTAGCAAAGAACAAGAAATGAACATCAATTGTACTATATTCTCACTCAAAGCATTCCATTTTTGGTATTAAGAATATATACTTTGAGTGCTTTAATCCTTATGTTGCACACTTGAAAGAAGCAATTCTAGATGCAAACCCAATTTGGTACAGTATCATGAAGTTAGTTAAAATTGTAAACTGCAATTAGGCAGAATAAAATCTTTGTTGCTTACGAAGAAATTCAAGAATATATTCCTATCCTACAAGGAATTCATTTTTGCTAAAACGATTCAAAATATGCGTTTTCTTTTTCGGTTTATGAACAAGAATAGCATCTCCCAAATTCGATCAAAACAACGATTGTTTGAGGTTTTTACCAAAGAATGAGGATGGAATTAGCAAAGAACAAGAAATGAACATCAATTGTACTATATTCTCACTCAAAGCATTCCATTTTTGGTATTAAGAATATATACTTATGAGTGCTTTAATCCTTATGTCGCAAACTTGAAAGAAGCAATTCTAGATGCAAACCCAAGTTGCTATAAAATCCCAAGTAAATTGGTACATTGCCATTCATCAAAACTTACATATTGATACATACTAAAACTCTCTTTCCTCCTTCGGAAATCGGAATCATCATGGCGGAATTTGTGTCTACCATTGCCGAAAGTGTCATGGCAGAGCTAGCTTCCTTTGCTTACCAAGAAGTTTGCTTGGCATGGGGTGTCGAAGAGGAGCTAAAAAGGCTTCGGAATACCTTTTCCGACATCAAACTAGTGATCATGGACGCTGAGGAAAGGCAGAGGAAGGAACCCCTTCTAACCCAATGGTTAGGAAGGCTCAAAGATGCTTGCTACGACATAGATGATGTGCTCGATGAGTTTGCATTCCAAGAAATGCAGATGACAATGCTGATCCCTGGCGGGAGTATCAAAGGAAAGGTACGCATATTCTTTTCGCGCTGGAATCCTATCATGTTTAACTTCAATATGGGGCATAAGATCAAAGAAATTAGAGAAAGGTTAGATGATATGGACGATGAAAAATCTCGTTTTCAACTTGTGGAACGAGTTGGAGATTGGCAGGTTGTGCACATAAAGAGAGAGACTCACTCTTTTGTGCAACCACATGATGTTATTGGGAGAGAGGATGATAAGAAACAGGTTATCATCCATCTCTTGAACTTGAACCTGAAGGAAGCAACTGGCGGTGCCCCCGAGCATGTTTCTGTTATATCCATTATTGGATTAGGAGGCATAGGCAAGACCACTCTTGCTAAATTGGTGTATAATGATAATCGGGTTGTCAGAAACTTCGACATGAGAATGTGGGTGTGTGTTTCGGACCACTTTGATCACAAAAGATTGGTTCATGACATTCTTACTTCAGCAACTAACCAAAACTGTGGTGATCATGAAAGCTTAGACCAAATGCAGAAGAAGTTGCAAGACGCTCTGAGGGATAAGCAGTTTCTGTTGGTGTTGGACGATGTTTGGGACAAGGCTCATGTCGGAGTAACATCCGCAAAGTGGTTTGATATGAAAGCTCTATTAAATGTTGGAGCCGAGGGGAGTAAAGTCATCGTAACAACTCGCAGTGAATCAGTTGCTTCGGTTATGAGCTCTGCGAGAGTGCATCAATTAAAAGGTCTTCCTCTCAAGGTTTGCAAGTCTTTGCTTATAAGACGGGCATTTGGTCAAAAAGGTGAGGAGCAACGCTATCAACACTTGATGGAGATTGCGGAAAGTATTGCAGATAAATGCGGAGGGGTTCCTCTAGCGGTAACCACCCTAGGGAGCCTACTGCATTCGAAAAGGGAGAAACAGGTTTGGTCCAAAGTTAGAGACAGTGACATATGGACATTGGACCAGGGAAACGAAGACATTCTACCTGCACTGAAGTTAAGCTACGATGCATTGCCGCCCTACTTGAAGCCTTGTTTCGCCATTTGTTCACTGTTCCCAAAAGATTATGTGTTCCAAAGTACAGATTTGGTTTCGCTATGGATGGCACAAGGCTTCCTGCAATCCTCTAATCCAACAAGATCTAAAGGAGACCAAGAGTTGGAAGAGATTGGCCTAGACTACATCAGGCAATTAGGTTCGAGATTCTTATTTGAAATAGAGGAAGATTCGATTGATTTCATAGTATTTAAAATGCATAATCTCGTCCATGATTTAGCTATTTCAGTGTCAAAACTAGAGTGCTCTTCCATAAATTTCCGTCCTAACCCCGATACTTGTAAAAGGGTTCGGCATGTTTCAATGTCAGAGGATGACTTACCCACCAAGAAAGGGGAACGAGTTCCTGAGTTCTTTCTTCAGTTGAAGAAAGTTGGGACCATTCTATTTCCAATTCCAGGACATGTAGGATTCTCCAACAAATCTGTGTTGAAATCTTGCATCCTGAAATTCAAGTACCTACGGGTGCTCGATCTTAGTGGTTCAACTTTTGAGGTGTTGCCGGGTTCTGTTGGCGACTTGAGTGGCCTGAGATATCTCAACTTGTCCAAAAATCCTAGCATGCAAAAGCTTCCGGGTTCCATTTGCAGGCTGCTAAACTTGCAGACCCTACTACTTACTAATTGTGAGAAACTCAAGAAGCTGCCGAGAGACATAGGGAACCTGATCAACCTCAGAACATTGGTGCTGACAACAAATCAGACGGTTATGCCAGAAGGAATTGAACGCCTCACCTCTCTTCGATTTTTACAGGTCGACAGCTGCAGTCATCTTGTATCTTTCGGCGAAATGATGCGGTGCCCCACAAGCCTCCGAGTGCTGGTTATAAGCAACTGTCAAAGTCTAGAGTCATTGCCAGGTGACGTGAAAAACCTAACAGCGTTGAAGGCTTTAGCCATCTCCGACTGCGTAAATCTTGACTTGATGAGGTCGGGAGAAGGCATTCGAGATCTTCGATCGGTTTCAGTCTCGCATTTAGAGGCTCTTCCCCCTTGGCTTAAAGAGTCTACAAACACTCTACAGAGCTTAAGTATCAAGAAGTGCGAGGGCCTCAAGGAACTGCCGGAGTGGCTGCAAACCTTCAAGTTGCTGGAACATCTAGTGATCGAATGCTGCCCTCAGTTGTCGAGCTTGCCGGAGGGGATGCATCTCCTCGGTGCATTGAGAGAGCTGAAGATCGACGGGTGCCCGAACTTGAGTGAAAGATGCAAAGGAAAAGAAGGTGCAGATTGGTTCAAGATCGTTCATGTCAGCAAGGTTACAGTTGATGGAGAGATTGTCGCGTCAAATGTTGATTAGATAACACTTGTTCATTTGCCTTGTATTGTTGTTGTAATACTAAATGTAGCTCTCATTCGAAGTCCAAATATTGGTCTGTCACTTTATTAAGTAATTGATTAAATTTTATTCAATTAGGGGAGACTTATCTCAACTCTCTCTCTCTCTCTCTCTCTTTTTTTTTTAATTTTATTTTATTTTAAAGATTTATTAGCAATTATTATTGGTTAAAATTTGGTTAGCATTATCTTTGGTTGGATAGTGATTCTTATAGTGTTACTGTTCTCCAATCGACTGATTTTAATCATTTCTAGCCTCTTCGTACGCAATGGTCTATTTATTCGGACCACGTTCGGAAGATAATTTTTTTATGCCTCTCACATATTTCGCGAAGGAAATGTTGTTTTAGGACAATTTTGCTAACAAGGGTTTGCCCTCTTCAACTTTAGTATGACAAGATCCCTCTCCGTTGGCGGTTCATCCTACTTTATTCTCATACTATGTTGGCTTTCTTAATTTAGACCTTTAAGTTCGTCTTTAAAGGGGTTAGGTTTCATGTCACCCCCCCTTCTCCACCACACCCCCCCCCCCCCACCCCCACCCCCCCAAAAAAAAAAAAAAAAAAAAAACCAAAAACTCCCTCCCTCCCTCTACCTTGTATTTTTATTGTTTTCGATCCTACAGGAGTAAGGTTTATGTCCCATTTTTTTCTTGTATTTTTTTATCTTTTTTTATTGTATTATGATGGGTTAGATTTATGTCCTTGATGACTAGCTGTAACTTTTTTTCTTCGTTATCAATAAAATTTCTCTCGCACAGTCAAAATTTTCTTATATATATATAAAATAAAATAAAAAGTGAGACCCTAATTCATTGCTTACTTTTTCTTATATCAACTATCATCTACGATATTTGAACTTAGTTCCTCTTTCAACAAAATGGTCCCGAGTGTCGCTAGACCGGCCTGCATAGAAGTGTCCTTAAAATAACTAATAGCATTTAAGCGTTTTCGAACATGTTTGGATGCAATGCATGAGGAACAAATATATTTAAGGCTTTAGTGACTTCTCATCTCTCAAAACCCTTGTGACATTCTCTTTTAATTGAATTGCCTAGTAACTATCCTACTCTTAAATATTTAGTATACCAATGCTTTGTAATTTCCTATTTAAAGGGCTCCATAATTAGTGAATTAAAGTTAATCTAAGAAGAGAGTGAGTTTTCTCCTCCTTAAAATCAAGTATGAGACTTGATCGTGTCGAGTGAATCTAGGATTAGCGACGTGAGTGAATCAGTTGCCCCTGGTTGAGTGATTCCCAGATTCTATCCCCGTAGAAACGTGAGTGATTTCATCCCCCCTAGTTGAGCGATTCCCAGGTTACTACCCCTTGTCTTTTCAAGACCCTTGGTATTTTCTACATCAAAGTGCTTCTAAGTTTATGCGCTTCTGGTGACCTGAAAGTGTTTCAAGTGCATTTTGAAAGCGATTCTACTATGTGCTTCTAATATAAGCACTTTTAAGCATTAGTGTCAATATCCATTTTTGTCTTGGTGCAATTCTTTTCTGAAATGTTCAATCACACCACACCTACCATCATGAATCAAAAAGACAACGTGAATCCATTACATTGCCTTTCATCTTAAAAAATACAACGTATGTAAATTCGATAACAGTATGAATGTTGGCACCCAATCAGTAATTACCCACAACAATTAGACACCGAAAACAATGAAGCAACACAACACAAAAAGCTCTCAAAATTTAGCCTTACATGGGCTAGGTACAAATTTTCGAATATCATCAAATTATTTTTATGCCTCCAAACATAATTATCTGCATCATGATTATCTTCGACATCACCGAATGTTATCTCCCCCACTGTCATCTCAACAAACGAAAGCCATTGAAAACCTTGAAAGCAGATGTATAAAATGAAACGAAGACTACTGCGTATCAAGACATACTTCGAACATTAGCAACATACCTCATCAATGTGAGACCCGCAATCTTACATCTTTCAAACAAATACGGTATATGATTCTGTGCATAGAATGTTCTTATTCGGGCTGTTGAAATTCAAGATCTAGTTTCCTCTTTAGATGTGTTCTGTCAGCACTGCAGAAGAGTAAAGAAAACAATAAAAAATCCGCACTCTACTCGGTCACACAGCAAACACATAAACAGGCATACACATGGAACGTGTGATTCCGTGATTCCAAGCGAGACGATGCTAAATCCAGAATCCAAAAAACAAAGTGGATTACCTATTAATTGTAGGTCTATTTGGAGGTTTTGCTCCAAAGATAGAAAAATCAACTGACATCGGCACCGGTTCATTCCTGCTTGTATTTTCACCAGCAGCATGTCTGGCTTCACCGAAACGATCATCAATCTTATCAACGTGTGAATTTCCTTCAAAACCATCACGCTCTGGCATCACTCTCCGTGATTTTCGTGGAGGTGATAACACAGTAGGACCATCATTTGGATTAAAATCTGAACCCTTAGACTCCCGCTTTGGAGCAGGTCTAGGAAGCTTATCTGGATATGTAGGAAGAGGCGCAGATGTAAAGTACCTAAAGAGTACCACAGAGATCACACACAGAATGGAAAGAGAAAACAAAAAAGTGCAGATACCCAATTGACTAGCTAGAGTATGATACCTGTGCTCTAATGCCTGCTGTACGGATATTCTAGCTTTGGGGTCATAAGTAAACATCTTCGCTAACAAATCTAGGGCATCATCACTAGCCACTGGAAACAATGAACGCAAGGGGGGTGCTGGAACATATTGGTATTCCACATAATCCGGGAGGTAAACCATATCAGGCCACTGAGAAGGAGTTGGAGTCCCAAAAGCCGCAAAAATCTTTCCTAGTTGATCAATATCACTTGATCCCTATTAAATACTCAAATGAAACCAATATATTATTAGAAAAAGGTGCACCCAGTATAAACTTCATTTATGCACGTCCCATGGAGAGCAATAACAGAATTACACATGACAAACCATTGCAATATATCACCTGACGAGTTAGAACTTGATATACAAATAAAAGTGAGCAGATTCATGCTATTCAGCAAAGGTGCTCAAAATTGATTTATTAAAGAAGTCAGTAAAATATTAGCTAGTGAGAACCATACTTCATTTTAACTGGACAAACATTCAGAAGAAATGACAGAAATGTGTACTAAAGTAAAATCTCAAAAGTGAGACACAATTAGAGGTGACTATTAAAATGAGCTCATGAAGATATAACCCAATACAGGATTTTTCTTTTGGCGTAAATAATATCAAACAAAGTCATTTTGTTTTTTGCCCACTGCTAGAAACGAGTACTTGTAATAAGAATTTGAAAATATGAACACGTAAGCCGCACAGAAAACGAAAACCACAACAGTAAGAGTCACAGGGAAGTATAGGACAAACTAGCATTTTGTAAATGTTCAAAAACACATTGGCTAATGGAAAGGTGTACCACATAAAAAGAGTTTCATTACGATTATGAAATATGGATTTACCTGCAAAAAGGGTCTGCGTAGGAGAAGTTCAGCGAATATACAAGCTGCAGCCCAAACATCTACCCCAGGTCCATATTGCTTGGTGCCAAATAACAACTCAGGTGCTCTATACCAACGGGCAAAGACCTATTCATATGTGTTAAGGTGTTATAAAGAGCTTGAACCTAAAAGCATGCAAATCATTGAAAGAAATTCACTTTTTAGTGGTATATAAATTAAACACCATCTTTGTAGACTTTGAAGGAATTCGCCAAATTGTCAGATATTTGAACATAATTTCCAAAGTAGCGCAGTCTATTAATAATTTAAGGTAAAAAGGGTCATATACACTCGTGGTTGTACATGCTATTGGAAAATTATTAAGATAGGAGTCTTAGTTTCTTAAGGCCATTTCAAAAGTGTTTCATTCTAATACCCACCAGACTTGTTTTATATCTCTCCCATGAAGAGTATAACAACCAATACCACCATGGAGAGGAGGTTTCTGAGACAAGTGAATGCTGGCATTAAACCAAACTCACAGTGCAAAGGATAAGCAGTGGAACTTCAGTAGGTTTGCTTTCAGTAAAAAGCACAGAATTATACGTTAAGAGATCTAACTCAAATACCATCAAGACAAGGAGAAACATACCTGATGAGTGAACCTGCGATCTGGGCTCCCAAATATACGTGCTAAACCAAAATCTGCCAGTTTAAGCTGCCCGTTAGATCCTATCAACAAGTTGTTAGGCTTCATATCCCTGCAAAGCACAATTAGCAGTTTAGCACACATCTCAGACAAATAATAACAACCAAATAAGGATCTACAAAGAACGCTTCTAGACGCAAAACGACTACCTGTGTAAAACCCATTTCTTGTGGCAAACAGCAAGTCCTTTTAAAGTCATCTGAAGATATGACTTTATGTCAGCTGGTGATAGGAATATATTCCGGTCACGTATAACAGCTTCAAGGTCCGTCTCCATGAACTCAAATACAAGATGCAAGTTTCCTTTATGCGGGAATGCTTCAATCAACTCAATAATGTTCGGATCCTTCAGCTCTTTAAGCAGTTTAATTTCTCTAAGTGCTGTAAAATTCACCCCTTCCTTTTGCTTCCCAAGACGAATTTTTTTAATAGCAACAGTCTGTCCCGTCTGCAGAAGGAATGTTTCGGAATCAAAATCAGAATCGATAGAGATCACTCATCAAACTTATTATGGTACATTCGGTTATAAGCAAAAGAAAAGAAAACTTTAAACCACTTCAAAAAAAATCACCAAATCGTTAGTTGCTCATTTGGTAGCTTAGAAAGTGAAAAACCATTCTCATATTATGGGTCACAACAACAATTTCCATTTTTTCTTACAACATAAGTATATGCAATATTGTGTTAAAGAACTCCATTTCAAAGGCGATTAAGTATTCAACGTTTGCACCAAAACCAATTGCAACCCATTTACGTATAGCGAAAAGTTCGGAAAAAAAAAAAAAAACTTGAAGCTATAATGTCCCAGGACTTTGCCCTCACACGTAAAAACATTCATATTCCATCCAAAAAGGGGAAGTTATTTTCAGATTCAGAGCTCAATTTTCTCAGCAAACAAACAAGTCCTAAAACCAATTCCACAGACACACACACAAACACGAAAAATTCAAAACCCAGAAACTCGAAAGACTACACAAAGCAAAAGAAATTCTCAAAAATTGACAAAAATTCCACGACTGATGGGGCTTTTACCTTCGTATCGATGGCTTTGTAGACGACTCCATAGGTACCTTCACCAAGAACCTCGCGCTTCAGATACCTATCCGCCACTTTCTTCGTCAGATCGACCTCTGCCATTGTCCCTCTCCGACTTATCACCTCACTGAAATTTTTGTTCAATTTTTGTTCAATTTACGTTTTTCAAGTGAGGTTTATTGGTGAATCTTCCATTCACAATTTGGAATTTTCCGGGAAAATTATTTAGGGTTTTAAAAATTTGCGCAGACGAGAAAGCCGTTGAAGCCCAAAGAGAGAGAGAGAGAGAGCGTGTAGAAGCAACGCCAATTTAACTTTTTATTTTTATTTTTTTAATTCTGCTTTTAATTGGAGTGGTTCACTTTTTAATTTTGAAGATTATTTGGGGGTGTTTTAGACTTTAGACTCGCTCTATTTTACAATTTGGTCTTGGGCCGAGGGAAGTCCACGATTATATCCAAACCTCTTTGGGCCACTGATATGTAGCCCATTAGACCCGACTACCCGCTCGACGTGCCCGTATGTGCGTAAGCGATGATGTCATGACGGAATGATTGATACTTTTATATTGCCTCGGTAACCTGTTTTTTATTTGGTCGACTTAGGGCTGCTCGCTCCTAGGAGCTTTAATATATGTTAGGTAATGTTGTTCTATTTTTTTATTTCTGAAACGCTTTTTAAATTTTTGGTTCTTGAATTAAATAAATTAAAGAAGATTAATGATTAAAATTAACAAGCATTTAGAAGGTAAAAATGAGTTGTTAACAACACTTGCAATCTTTTATTTGTTTCACGTTTAAATGAATAGTATGTTGATAAACGATAATATCCAGTCGATATTTTGACAAAAATAACTTGTGGAAAAGGGATCATCTTCGGAGCCCTTCCACCAAATCCATCAAGTTCGGAGATCTGGACCGTTGAAATTTGATCAAACACATACAATTATTATAACTATTAAAAGATCATTCTGTTTGTAAGCGTTTGATTTTTCTCTCTCCATTGTCAAAACAATAATATTATACGTGCACATGAAGCTGACGAGTCGAAGAGTGTTTTCCTCTCTCTCTATAAAAAAAAGTTGCTGAGGCACAACTTTGCAAGGTGTGGAGGTAGAAGATGGGGGTCGTGAAGCTGTTTGCAACAGAAGGAAGCCTTTTCTGTGCTAGGATTCAGTGGGCATTGAAGCTCAAGGGTGTGGAGTATGAGTTCATATTAGAAGATTTAGCAAACAAGAGTCCCCTGCTCCTCAAGTACAACCCCATCTACAAGAAGGTGCCTGTGCTCGTGCACGGTGACAACGTCGTCCTCGAGTCACTTGTGATCCTCGAGTACATCGAGGATACATGGAAGGAGCACCCGTTGCTGCCTCGTGACCCATATGACCGAGCCACAGCTCGTTTTTGGGCTAAATTCAACGATGAAAAGGTACCCCTTTTTTGCAACACATGTATGCAAGTGACACAACTATGCTTTTTGTGCGCGGCTAGTGAATTTAACACTCCGTTAACATATTCAGTTTTGAGTGTAGACGGTCTATGTTTGGAGAAATTTTTCATTGCGACGGGTACACAAGTGGTACACCACATGTTTTAATAGAAGTTGTGGGAAATTTTATTTTTAAAGTTATTAACTTTTTAGCACACATATCTCATCGTTTGTATAGTAACACGTGGTGTACCATCCCGTGTACTGATCATACCGAAAAATCTGTCGTGTGTTTGATCCTATATGGTAGAGAGAGAATCTCTTAAGCTTCCCGGGTTTGAAACTAATTTTCTTGTACATGCTCATGTTCCAGCTTGTGCTTCAAGTGTGGACAGCTTGCACGGGAGAAGGCGAAGCGCAGGAGAAGGCGAAAGAGTCTGCATTAGAGTCACTAGCGCTTGTTGAGAAGCAGATCGAAGGGAAGAAGTTTTTCGGCGGCGAACAAATAGGGTATCTAGATGTAGTATTGGGATGGATGCCTCACTGGATAAGTGCTATTGAAGAAGCTGGAGGCAACAAGATACCTGAAGCAGAGATGTTTCCGTCTCTCCACCAATGGGGTCAGAATTTCATCCACACTCCACTCATTGAAGAATGCATTCCGGCTAAAGAAGCATTGGTCCCCTACCTCCGATTTATGATCGGTTACATCCGTTCCTCATCCGCCAACAAACCATGATTTCGCACTCCATCTCTTCACTTCCGAATCTGATTACTGTTTGATTGAGTCTTGTTGTCATCTATGTATTTGCTACAATAAATGAAATAACGAAGAGAAGAGCATTTCAGTTAACGTTATCGCGTGACAGGACAACTGTTATGTACTAAATCGAAACAGTCATTACATTGCAGCACCACATTGTATTGAAACAACTCCGAATTTCTGATGTGGAGGGAACAATTTAGATGATCTTCCAAACTCGCTGCTCGGTTCTTAGGCAAGTTTAATAAACCGCACAGAGCAGGTACAAAATGCATATCATAGCAAAATTGCTATTCAAGAAGAAGCTGATAGTGATGCAAATTACTACAAGAAGCTGTAAACAACTAACCTTATATCGAAACTTAGCGCAATCGTGCGCGTGCGCTTAATTTTCTTCGACACGAGCCTCACATACGTCACTACATTTCTAGAAGAGGGTCCAATTGGTCATGATGTAAGAAACAAATTCTATCCTTAGTTTGAAAGTTCAACACATTAGGTGAGATTAAAGTTCATCCAAGACTAAACAATACTTTTGAGTGATAAACAAGAGAGTTGACTGACTTACAACTTTCTCTGCAAGAAATGTGACGCTTAGCGAAATCCCGCCTCTATAAAGCTCAGACCAATGCTTCAAGAGAATGAAAACTTTCGATTTCAGAATTTGCAGACTTCAAAATGGGAGATGTTAAGGTGATCGGAGCCTCTCTGAGTCTTTTTTGCTGCAGAATTGAATGGGCGCTGAAGCACAAGGGGATAGCGTACGAGTACATTGAAGAAGATTTGAGAAACAAGAGTCACCTGCTCCTTCGGTATAATCCTGTCCATAAGAAAGTCCCCGTTCTTGTGCACGGCGAAAAACCAGTTGCAGAGTCCCTTGTCATCCTTGAGTACATAGATGAAACATGGAGAGAGAACCCACTGTTGCCAGAAGATCCATTTGAAAAAGCAATGGTGCGATTTTGGGCAAAGTATGTTGACGAGACGGTAAACAAACAACATTCACACTGCACTCTCTCTCTCTCTCTCTCTCTCTCTCTATATATATATATATATATATATGTATATATGAATGCTTGTACATGTAATTATACATACATATATTGAAAAGAGAAGTTAACGAGCTTTTCAAACACTACGCAATGCAGTGTGTGATCAGTGCATGGACTGCTAGCCGTACAAAGGGGCGTGAACAAGAGAAATCCTTGGAGGCAGCACGAGAATCACTCGAAGTTCTGAACAAGCTCATCGAAGGCAAGAAATTCTTCGGAGGAGAAATCATTGGTTTCCTAGACTTAGTGGTGGCTTCTTTACCTAACTGGCTCAAGTTCTTAGAAGAATCTGAAGGCATAAAGCTGTTTGACACAAAGGAGTTGCCATTTCTTCATGAATGGGCACAGAGATTCACTGAAATTCCAATAATCAAAGGAAGTATTCCAACGGCAGAAGATCTAATCAATTACAACCGGGATCACAAGAAAGCCGAATGATGCCAAAGAAGAAACACCTAAAATAAAATGGTCCCAGATTCGGCTTAAAATAATGTAAACGAAGCATCACATAGCCTTGATATTTCCTGATATATGTATGTGTATGTATAATATGATCCGTAAAACTGAATCCAACATCTGTATTTGACTGAAATAGAAATTAAGTTATAACATGGCGACAACGGCACCAGAAAGCAGTCCCCCCACTTTTGCCTCGGCCAACTGCTAGTTCTTCATCAATGTAAAACCATATAAAGAATGGATCCTTCGTGCTAGGCTCTCTGTCGTCTTTCTGGCCTAGACCGATCTCTAAGGTTTTCAAAGGTCCAATTTTTATCCGGATGGATTCAAAGACGAAGGCTAGTATTCTCTTCTTCCAGGAAAATCTTCCTTCAAATGTTAAGCATCCAAATGGCCCAAAATACACTCCGTTCTCAATTCTCTTTCCCTGATAACCCCGACAGACATTTGTTAGTCTCAAAAGTTGAAATGCAACTAGGAAAATGCTACTCATGCCTACGTTTTCCGATAGTTATCAACGATGAGAGCTTCTAAGAGCTCCTATTTAGTTTTGAACAACAATAATATCCAGGCAACTCACTACAAAATTTAGGCACCAGTGATCGAAACACAGATAAAAAGACTTACAGCAGCATCAAATCGCTGAACTGCGGTAATAGGGAAGTAGCGACCGCCCGTTAATTCCTTCTGCAAATACAACAAAAACCAAATAATGCTCTCATTTCTCAGATTAAAGGTGAAAAATTGAACATGGTTATGGAAAAGGTGAAAGCTTTATACTAACCTCAGCAGTAAATATGAGCATCCATGTTCTCCCCGGGGATTCTGTTCCGCCAAGCGTATTAAGAAAGCCGGAAGGGTCGAGCTTTCCCTTCTCAATGACCGATAGAGCTGACAGAACCTCCTCCTTCGCAACCCGTCTTGTTTTTGCGGCCTTCTTCAGCAATTTCACACTCTCCTCCACTTCCTTAACCAAACAATAACACCATAACTTCATCAAATTATCAAAATATAACTTCTTTCACTAGTATGTGCTTCCCCAAGAAGTGCTTCTTCAATCAAGAAGCACTTTTTAAGCTTTTCTACTAGATGCAATCCAACAAAAACGCTTTTAGCTAATTTTTGCAACTGAAGGAGAAAACAATGAGAAAAGGCATACTTTGGTGGGCTGCGGCGGTTCCTGGACAAGCATAGGTACGGCGGTGGCGCTTTGTTCGCCGCCGTCAACGGTTGCTCTGGTTCTAGTGGTGGGAAATTTGAGGATGGGATTGCGATGTGTGGGGTTGGATTGAGGTGGGATCTGGAGGGGGAGATTTGAGGGTCTGAGAAATGATTGAGAAATATTGAGAGGCATAATCAAGGAGGAGGAGATTGCTGTGACTGTGTGTGAGGCCATTGCTCCTGTCATTCTCTATGCACCTGTGGGCTACCATGCAACTCCTTCCTGCTCCTTTGGGTCTTGTTCATCCATTCATTTACTTTTTATATTTTAAATCAATTATTTAAAAAAAAAAAAAACAATTATATTTAAATTTAAGAATGAAAAATTGTATGAATGACACGTATACATTTCACTTTTGTGACAATTAGTGATGTTTCTATTTAAAGTAATGCTAAAGGAATTAAATTTTGGAAATTAAATGATATGTAAGTTAATAATTAGTTTATTACTTAAGTGTTGATAAATGTACTTATTTTTATTCGTGATATATCATTTAGTTTGCAAATTTAGTCTCCAAATTTAGCCTATATAGCATTATTTTTTTTATAAGTAAAAAATATTAAGTTCGATTCTTATAAGGATGAATTCGAATCAATTCTAGTCCAATTTAAAACTTAATAAATCCCCTTTATATATTTTAAATAAAAATTAAATACACAAACTCAAAAGGTTGAATTGATAAGTCACGTGGTTTTCTTTTTTTTAAAAAAGGATTAACCTGTGGCTTCGTCACGACAGTTCACTTTTTCGAAGATCTGAAAAACTCATAGATAGATTTCAATTTCTCTTGACGACTATTCACAATCGTAGGAATCAAACATAAAAAATACCATGTGAATTACGAATCTAAAACTAATCTGCGACCACTAAACCACACCCGTGATGGTTGATAAGTCACCTGGTTAAATTCAACGAAATTGTGGACGCAAGTTAAATGTATGTGGCATATTGTAAAAAAATGTAAAACGAACACCAAAATTCCAATGAGGATCCATGTTAAAATCCACATATTTCTCACTCTCTTTCTCTTACAAAAAATTTTTAGTTGTGATTAGAACACAAATGGTATACCAGATGTTTTATTAGGAATGGTGGAAAATTTTATTTTTTAAGTTATTAACTTTTTAGCACACATATCCCACCATTTGTATAGCACTGTTTCCTCTGCCCAACCACACCACCACAGGTGGCGATCACCCAATGAGCGACGCTCCCGCCAGCTGACCCTTCACAAAAACAAAAAAAAACAACCTTCATTTCCGATCAAAATTACCAAAACACCACAATGTCCTCCTCTGGCAAGCTCTTCTCCACTCTCCTCGGCACCGCTCTCCGCCGCACCGCCTCCGCCACCAGACCCGCAACCCCCAGATCCCCCCTCATGCGACCCGCGGGGTACCTCCTCTCGCGCGCCGCCCACTACTCGACGTCATCGGCCGCAGCAGCCACTGCGCCTCCCAAACCCGCTACGACGTCGGTGAGTGGAAAAATCACAGATGATTTCACCGGAAAGGGCGCCGTCGCCAAGGTCTGTCAGGTGATCGGAGCCGTCGTCGATGTTAGGTTCGACGAGGGGTTGCCGCCGATCCTCACGTCTCTCGGAGGTCCTGGATAACTCGATCCGATTGGTGCTCGAGGTGGCTCAGCACCTTGGTGAGAACATGGTGAGAACCATTGCCATGGACGGAACCAAGGGCTCGTTAGAGGTCAGAGAGTCCTCAACACGGGCTCTCCCATCACTGTAAGATCCTATTTTCTGGCTTTCTGTTTCTCAAAATTCAATTTTTTTTCGTGTTTAAGAATTTATTTATTTAATTTTGTATTAAAAAATGAATTTATTGAATAAATTATGAAACTTTTGAATAATGGGTGTATAGATACTAAGGGAGAAAAAAAGGTTGAAAATTCAAGCTAAATGGTGGTGATGCATACACTCGGATTGCCAAACTCTGGGAAGGTTTTCGGTGTCTTTTTTTGTTTGTCATGATTTTTAGTATGCTCTTTGTTTTCTGCGTATTAAGTGATCTCGGCATCAAAAGAAACAAATAACATTTGTGTCTAATCTTTATCAAGGTTGTTGATCTTCTTGCCCCTTACCAAAGAGGAGGAAAGATTGGGCTCTTTGGGGGTGCTGGTGTCGGAAAGACCGTGCTTATCATGGAACTCATCAACAATGTTGCCAAGGGTCATGGTTGGTTCCATTTTGATGCTTTTTAGCTATCCTCTCTGTTGAGTAATGATCTCTTGGGTTATAAAATGTTTCATCCTCCTTCTGCAGGTGGTTTCTCGGTGTTTGCTGGCGTGGGAGAACGCACAAGAGAGGGTAATGATTTGTACAGAGAAATGATGGAAAGTGGTGTCATTAAGCTTGGAGATCAGCAGGTTAACTTAGTGCAACATGACATACTAACTTGCCATATTTTCCTCGACATTATGTTATTCTCAATTCCATTCCCTTGTACTCCAGAGTGAGAGTAAATGTGCTCTTGTCTACGGACAAATGAACGAACCTCCTGGTGCCTGTGCTCGTGTTGGGCTCACTGTGGCCGAGCACTTCCGAGATGCTGAAGGACAAGATGCGCTTCTCTTCGTTGATAACATATTCTGCTTTACTCAAGTAAGCTCTCTCTGCACTCACACACACATTTCAGTTGATATATTTTCAACTTCTTCTGACCAAACACCCCCCTTTTCTTTATCTTCTCTCCAGGCTAACTCAGAAGTGTCTGCCTTGCTTGGTCGTATCCCATCTGCTGTCGGTTACCAACCTACCTTAGCTACTGATCTTGGAGGCCTTCAAGAGCGTATTACTACAACCAAGAAGGGTTCCATTACTTCTGTTCAAGCTATTTATGTGCCTGATGATGACTTAACAGATCCTGCTCCTGCAACCACTTTTGCCCATCTTGATGCCACCACCGTGCTGTCATGACTAAGTATGTAGTCTTCTATTTTCAATTTAATTATGAAGCAGGAATAACCATCTGCTTTGTCTTCTGCTCCTATGTTCTTAGATCTAACAACTGGTACATGGTTAGATATCTGAGCTTGGCATCTATCCTGCGGTGGATCCCTTGGATTCTACATCTCGCATGTTGTCCCCTCATATTTTAGGAGAAGATCACTACAACACTGCTCGTGGTGTTCAGAACGTTGTTCAAAATTATAAGAACTTGCAAGATATTATTGCTATTTTGGGAATGGATGAGATCAGTGAAGACGACAAGTTGACTGTTGCTCGTGCCCGTAAGATTCAGCGTTTCTTGAGCCAGCCTTTCCATGTAGCAGAAGTCTTCACGGGAGCTCCTGAAAAATATGTTGAGTTGAAAGAGAGCATTACCAGCTTCCAGGTGATGAACATTTTCCATATTTCCTTTTTGTCATGGTCCTGAATTAGTCATCACTTTGATTTTTCCAGAATCGATTCCTTTATGTGCTAGCCCTACAACTCCCTGACGTTGTGTTGCGGGATTGTATTTCTACAGGGAGTTCTGGATGGGAAATATGACGACCTTCCTGAGCAATCGTTTTACATGGTTGGCGGAATTGAAGAAATCATTGCCAAGGCAGAGAAGATTGCTAAGGATTCAGGTGCGTAGTCACTCATATTAAGTTGGCTCTTCTCTATAGGACTATATTAACAAAGAGCTAAAAACGTTGGCATTGGAAAATCTCAGGAACTTCAAAACTTTTCCTTTCGGAGATATAGGTTTATAATTCCGGGAAATATTTTTGGTAGGTTAAGGGTTGTATTGGGAAGAGAATTGAGGAAGGGGCATATTCTGTTAGGTCCCTTTCCTTTGTGCAGTAAGGTATGCACTTGCAATGTATTTATGTAACTATGTATAATCATTTGAGTTCACACCAAAGGTTTTATTCATCCTGTGTCGGTCCACAGCTTCATCTGCTTCTAGGGTTTCTTTCTCGAAAGGATGAAGGTCGATCCTTCATCCTCGGCTCTCAACAAAGTAGGTAAGTTACCACCTTTACTCATTGAGCTGGTTTGTATTCAGCTCTGAAATTCTGTTTGGCTGGTGAGAAAATGTGGGAAAAGTACATTCTTTATTCACGATCTTCCTTATTCAAGCTACAAATTAAAATTCTTTCAGAGAAGCTTCAAATGTTCAAACCACAAACACGCTAACAGATTTCTTTGTTGTTACTCGGTCGCTGATTTGCGTTTGAGTACAACAAACACGCTAACAGATTTCTTTGATTCGAGGACGGAAGAGGATTCCACGAGTTTCTTGAGAAACAAGAAAATACCGAGGTCAATTAGTCACCAGCTTAAAATAACAAGACAAATACCTTAAGACTTGTTTGGGATCGCTTCTCTAAAAAGCACTTGCGCTCGTAAGCTATACTAATTTTATAATAAGTTAAAATATTTATTACAAATCTAAGTACTTCCTAGAAAAGCACTTGGAAGTGCTTTCTAAAGCGCCTGATGGATGTTTCTCTAAAAAACGGGAGTCGATTATATGAATCCTAAACCCTCTGTAGCTTCGCCGCTGTCCCTAATTAGAGTCAACCATATGAATCCTAGAACGCCACTATACTCAGTTTTGTACTAAGAACACAATCAAAACTAACTCAAGAAAAAGCCTTACCTCTTGAGAACAGAAAATACCAAACAGGCTCTGAATCACCCTTTAATTTTAGTAAGGAAACAACAATTTTAGACTGTTGGATTACAGCAGTCAGATCTTTTTTAATATGTAATAAGTTCTTATAAACTAGTAAAGATTAACTTTTAAGTATATAAGAACCCGGTAAGTAGAGTTGTTTGCATAGCTGTTGGGGCCGTCTCCGCCGTTCAGCGGATAGGCTTCGACGGAGTTACTGGTTTCCTCCTCGGCTGCAGCCATCTCTCAATTTCTCTTTTTAGGAGTGTGCTCTCTCTCTCTCTCTCTCTCTCTCGGTGTTTTCTTGGAGGAGGAGGGGGATTTTATATTGGTATATTTGTATTGCAGTCCAACAGTACTACTTGACACTAATCAAAGACAAAGTAAAACCAATTAAGAAATACTGTAGAAGTGCAACTGAAAAAGACCAAGATGGTGTACGTCGTATTGGCTGTATTCCAAATCAATAACACGCTTTCATGTGCGAAGGTAATGTACGTGACATTACCTTATTTGGTTCAGTACGTTTTTGCTAAAGCATCTGTTTTGTTCGAAAAGCATGAGGTACATAGGGATGTTAAAGGAAAAACACATAACAAGAATAATAAGGAACTAGCTCGATCGATCGAGTAGGACAAGATCAAGTATGTGACACATGAAGTGATTACCAATTTTACATGTCACTCAAATCAAATTTCCAGGCGTTTAAGCACAACAAGAAAGTTGATCGCCTTCCCAGACTGAAGGATCGATGGTTGCCCTTCGAGTCTCTTGCGATACAAGTCATAGAGCTCGTCTAAGATATTGTCTCCAAATTGTTGCTTCACAAGTCCCTCCGTGGCAGCTCTGACATGAGATGCAAATACCTGGCTACTTTTAGTAACAATGTCAAGTGCCGAGACACGAGGTAAGTTTTCAATTCTCTGTGTGCTAAAACAACCATTTTTCTCCACAGCAGCTTCGAGTTCTTGGGGAGACATGTAATACAGAGGTAGATTAAAAGAATCTACTTTTTCTTCCTGAACTACTCCCTGCATAAGGGAAAAACACATAGCGGTCATTTCGTCGGATACTTTGCGGTGTTCTATAATTAAACTTAGAGCAGGGGGTCATTTTCTTACCTTCATAGCCAGGTCCATGAGGCAAGACCCGAGAAGTTGATGAGCCTGGTTTACCAAAGAAAGCGAATGAGGGGTACCATTCGGGCGTCCTGGAATGATGAGCACCATCAATCCTCCATTCGCAATCTCTTGTGCCCTGGCATGCAGGAAGCATTCCATGTCCTCAGCATGTTGAGCTTCATAAGCCCTTAGGACTTCATCAGTGGAATTTGAATAAACGATTCGTCCTTTGTTCCATGCACGGCTGTTTCTGTCCACTACCTCTTTCGGCACTCTAGAAAGCCATTGAAGGGCACAAGAAGAGTGAAAAAAGTGAACGGAAGCATTAGGAAATACACGAACGTAGAAAGAACCGGGTACGCCTGCAGCATAGTATCGCCTGCTCGGAGGGAGGGATTGGAAGAGCGTGTTAAAATCGTTTAGAGTGTGATCATTAAAGAAAACATGAAATTCCGGGATATGCGAATTCAAGCCTTGGCCTTGATACTTGAATTCTACAGCTTCAAGTATGTTTTGAACCGCAACAAACGTATTTGGCCCGACAGAACAACCCAAATCTGCAATGCGAAAGGTGTTCGAAGAAGGTAGCATCTCGACGTCAAGATTTTCTGCAATTGCCCTGCTTACAAGTTGTTGGGCAGCATCCACTACTCCTCTCTGAAAAAGGAAAGATTGTGCATGTTCTTTTGATTAGTAGAGAAGATCCAACACCTTGAATTTCATTTGCTTAGAGTAATATGTAACTCAAATTCAGACACTTTCTGAGTGTCAGTCCAATAATTCTTGTAAGGTAGATTTATTCTGAAGAACACAACTAAAAACTACAGCAACAACAGAGCTTTATTCCATTTATTCCACTAGGTGGGATCGGATGTATCAACTTTAGAGTTGGCAGTGATGGATTACAGCAGTCAGATCTTATTTAAATGTGTAACAAATTCTTATAAACTAGTAAAGCTTAAGTTTTAAGCATATAAGAACCTGGTAAGCAGAGTTTTTAGCATAGCTGTTGGGGCCGTCTCCACCTTTCATCGGATATGCTTCGGCGGACATACTGGTTTCCTCCTTAGCTGCAGCCATATCTCAGTTTCTCTCTTTAGGAGTGTGAGTAGTTGTAAGTCATTTATAGTATCAGGAGTAGACCTGCTGACTGAAGGCGGCTCACTTCTCTCTCTCTCACGCGAAATTTTTCACTATGACCGGAATACAAAAGGTAACCAAGTGTTTGCTTGCTTAGTGTTGGAGAACAATTCAGAAATAAACAAAAAATAATAGAACTTGAAATTCTAATATTTTATTAACCAAAAATACTTGATGTGCAGAATGAAATTATACAATAAATACAGAAACTAATATAAGAATATCAATGATACTAACTTGATCACAGAAGGTACAGGCTAGCGTAAAAGCTATGTCCTTTGAACAGTATTTCATCCCACTCTTGTGTTTGTGGTTCTACAACGACTGCTCAACCAGGATTCAACTACCTAATTCTACAACCCACACTGGATTCTAAAATTCTAGCGAATTTGCTTTGTGTGCTTACTCTCTGGAAATTTCGTATGGAAGAAAAAGAGGAAGAAAAGATAATCTCACTTGGATACTGTGATTGCAAATATATAGGTTGTTTCACATGCTTTCAAATACATGTTCAGTGTATTTGAAAGTAAACAACTCTTTCTAATAGCTGTGTCTTTTAATCAAAACGTTTTTTAATTAATAAATTAATTAAAAAACTTAATCCGAAAATTAAAATTAATGAATCTGATTAATTTTAAATTCCAAATGGCCCAAGGCCCTTGTCTTGATTAATTAATATTAATTGTATTTAGGCTATATTATATTCAAGCCTAATCCACACAACCATAAAGCCCAAGCCTTCAATCTATTTCTAAATGGTCCAAGTTCTAATTACGTCGGGTAGTAGTAGCTGGAAAATTCCAGCAATATAAGTCTGGTTAGCCACCTAAAATATTTAAGCTAAAGAAAAATCTAGAAGCTGCAAATTATGTGGTCTTTGTTGCAATGCCCAAATCGGTGAACACCACCTACAGATAGGTTTGTGCTATTATGAAATCAGAAGAAGTGAGAGCAAGTAGTGAGAAGTAAGAAGAGTAAGTAGAAAAAGCATCCATAGCTTTTAAGAGTGCAAGCAAATTGCGAGTGTTTTCTTGTATTAGTTTGTCGTGAGAAAAAAAAAAATCTTTGCGTAATGGTTAGAGTGTTCCTTTTTCTCTTACCTATTAATTTTCGCTACGTTGCATTCTTTTTGTGAGATAATCATCTCTAAAATAATGTTGTCTCTTTGAGCTTCAACAAAGGCGGCTCACTGGTGTACACAGTGTTTGGTGCTTGCATTAGTCAATAGTCCATAGTAAATGAGTGGAAAGAAGATTTAGTTAATAATGCAGTTCACACATATCTGATCAATTAAATTTAGAAAAAAACTTTGGAAGTTATGATTACGGCTGATGTTAAAATATCAATCAGTTGTCGACAATCATAAAATTGAAGTATCGATCATATTAGTAACAAGTGTTGTTGAACTGCATTGTACAGAAATTCGTTACGACATCTATTATAAAGGACTCCTCCCAAGTCCATCCCCCAACGTCACAGAACTTACAACAAAATACGAAAGAAAAAAAATGTTGAAAAACAATTATTTTCATAACTTGTGTAGGATATGACTAGTATTTGCAACCATTCCAAGTCCAACTAATTAGAAGTCCATTCCACACAGGAAGGAAAAGTTAATTAGAAACAAAATTTTGATATTTCTTAAATAAATATGTATAAAGAAATGTTGTAGTTAATATTATTTAGGAATGTGATTTGTAATTTAAGAATAGAATTCAAATAAGATTTTGGAACAATTACCTTTATAACTTGTATTACTTGTAGGGGCAAGAAAAGTCCATGTTTTAGTATAAAAGCTAAGGCCATATGGGAGAAAAAGCAACTCAGACAGCCGAGCTCTTTCTTCTCTCTCTTGTCGTCCCTCTCCTACCCTCACACTCTTAAATTTTTCCTTCAACAAGAAAGACTCATTGTTGGAAAAATAACAATTTTAAATAACATGTTAAAATAGGTAATTAAGTACTATAATTTAGTTGTATTCTCCTTTCATTAGAAGTTTATTATACATACATAAATACACACGCATACACACATACACACTCTAAGAATACTATACAAGAAGCTGGAACGTAGAGTTTTTCGCGTAGCCGTCGGGCCCATCTCCTCCTTTCATTGAAAATGCTTCTGAGAATGTACTGGATTCAGGTGCTGCCATCTCTCTCTCTCTCTCTCTCTGTTTTCTTGGAGGGGAGGTTTTATTATGGTATGTTTTTGTGTTGCAGTTCATCGCTGCTACTTGACACCAATCAAAGACAAAGATCATACTGGACCTTGGAGTTTAAAATTGGATTGGCAGAGATATGTAAGGTAAGATTTGTAATTCGTATATAAGAATAGATTAGATAATCTACTTTATTATGAATTCATAATTCATCATGTTCAGTTATGTTTATCTCATATTGACACAACAAACAACAAATTAAATTCAAATATATTTCAATTCGTCACAAGCCATCTGAACCAGGCTACCAAACATGTAGAAGAAAGTAGAATTGAAAAAGTCCATGGTGGTGATGCAATTTCAAACCAATTATTCAACTTTTTCTATGTTTTCTTTTCTTTTTAAAGACTTTTATGCATGAAGTTGAAATATCTGTATCTATGGTATCGGTATTATTTAACCATTGAAAAAGTCCTGGATGGAATAGCATCTGACTGCCTTTTCCATTCTCATGCAATGAGGACTTACCTACGACGGGTAGGTCACGGCGGTTGTTTTTTAAATCGTTAACGCGCGGACGCTTTCATGTACAAAAGTTAATATACGTGATATTACTTTATTAATTCGGCATTTGGAAAACACTATTTGTCCTCAGCGTATGAGCCTGGTAAGCCTTTAGAGCATTCCAGTGTAGGAAGGCATCTTTGGGCAATATGCAACCAATCTCTTCGAATGAACGGTAACTGTATGCAATAAACAGTAACTGTTCAAATGCATTTCTAAGTATGCAATGAACAGTAACTGTTCAAATGCATTTTTACCTCTAAATTGAATATTCCAGGTAATTTATATTAAAATATTAGTATTTTTATTTTATAATATAATAAAAGATAACTTTATTTTTAATTTCGGATGATAATAAAAGATTGTTGAAAATATTAAAATATAGTGTAAAGTGAAAGAACGGGGTGGGTTATGTATTTATAGAAAAAAAATATATTTTTTACTATAATTTTTTAATAATTTAAATTGTGATTGATGTCTTACGTCACTGTTTGGATCTGATTTTACATCATCGGCCTGAGCAATCGTGGCCGTTGGATGAGTAGAGTTTTAAACCGTTGGATGATAAAGTGGTTGAGATGATTTTCAATTATTATTGAGGGATAATATTGTGGTTTTAATCATAATATTATCTCTTAATATATATTAGATTATCTAAGCCTAATATTAGCTATATCCAGCTGGTTGTTTAAAGATAAGTGATGTGGCAAATCATATTTCCAACTTGGAGGTACAGTTCAAACGGGTTTGGGATGTTTGTACGACTCATGCGGCAATACAAATTACAAATGAATTAATTTCATTTAAAATCAATGATTGCATTGGATAAAGGTGAAATGATGCAGTAGGTAGATGATGGTGATCAGGATCACATCGTGACATTTGATTTGCAAATGGTTTGCATGGATGAGACGGCATGAAAAAAGGAGCTTTTTATGGTCTCCACATGGAAGTTTAATGAAGATTATCTGGAATGGTAATTCCAAATGCATGCACTTGGACGTGAATATGGGTCTAAACATTGCACGGTTATTTAAAATGCTATGGAAGATTTCCATGTGCTTGTAAATTGATCTGATTGCATGGTTATCATAGGTGGACGACAGTTATCAAAGTGTGTTGCTCCTTTGGAATAATATTCATAGGAATATTATTTATTCCGATTGGATATTCCTAAGTCACGGCAACAAATTCACAGCGTGTTCATCAAGGCACGTCCCTATAAATACAAAGCGGCAGAGGACATTTGAGGGACCTCCAATTCAACACACAACTGCCCTGCGCAAACCTCTCAAACACCTTGAGATTTTTTTTATTTTCTTTTTTCGCCAACACACCTTCAGTTTGGATAAACAGCACTGTGAAAGCAACCAGCGAACATCTTCAGTTTGGATAAACAGCACTATTGCCGTAGAATCAGCCGATCACGGCGAACATCTTCAATTTGGATAAACAGCACTGCGTCGAGGCCGATTGGTTATCTATCCAAGTCTCGGTCGAGAAGGATTTTCGAATCCTTATTGGCAGAGGTCATCTTATTAGTCTTCTCGGCGAAGTGAGGTGTTACAAGTTACTACATTCGGCACATTGAAAGCCGAATTTGATATTGAACTTCGCAGAACTAGCAACCTTGTCTTCAGGCTCAAGAATCCAAAGGTCGAGATTTGTCCCTTCCTAGGCCGCAGTCGCAAGATAAAGAAGTTAGCAACGCGCTCAAGGCAACATCAACAAATTTTACTCCTCGGCCGAGCTCGGTCGACGAGTTGGCACGCCCCGTATCAACCGAATGACGTAGTTAGCTCATTAGTTACTCGGCCTGCGCACCACGCAGGTTTTGTAATTTTTAGGGTCAATATTTTGGCACGCCCAATGGAACACAGTGCTAAAACTACGAAGTTTACATGATATATCAAGATTCCAATCTGGCTCAACGTAGCCGATTGTACGAGCGCCTAGAGGAATTGAAAAAACACAATGAGGAACGAAAAAGATCTTTGGAAGTGGAAAAAGTTCTTCGTGGCCATAGAGAGATGGAAAAGTCATTCGCTTACATGTTGAGAATAAAAGCTCCTGTTACCCTGCAAGAGCAATAGGTAAATGAAGATAGGGCTCGATTTAATGCATAGCTAGATGGAGAATATTTTCCTTACGTTTTCGACTGCAAATCAATTCCATTTGAGGAATGGTTGGTTGAAAAGACCGAGGGGCAATTTTCCGCTCCGGCCATAATCAGACATCGGCCTAAGAAAATTGTTAATTTGGCCGAATAACAAAGGCCACCTATTTTTTCGGTCGAGACTGAAAGTGTGGTAGGCCTGGAAGAAAATGTTCAAGTTTTTGAGCCAAAAATTGACTCAGAAAATGATTCGTCAGAAGAGTGTTCCAATGACGAACAAGACCAATACACGACTTCAGACCATAAAACCACATCAATTGATATGGTAATTGGAGACATGGTTTTAGATGCCGAAACTACGCCAATTGACATGGTTATTGGTGATAAAGCCGATATAGAGAAATCTCATTCGGCTAAGTTGTTTGAATTAAAAGTCGAAATTATGCCTGTGGGGCATAATAATTGTTCAACACATTCGGCGGCCGAAAATGAAAAAATTTTCGCCAAGTTACAAATATTTGGAGAAAATTCTTTATTCAGCCTAGAGCGAAATCAATATGAAAATTTTGATATAAAAAGATCTCGACTTGGAATAAAGCATTGTTGGCCTCCTCCTGATTATGGTTTGGCCACTTTTATTTTCATTTGCTACTAAAAAAAAAAATATATATATATAATGAATAAATTATTTTCTTAAACATACGGCTATGCGAGCCGATGTAAAAAAATAAGGGAGTAGTAAGTGGTGTGCTCGGCTTAATCATTTAATGCATTCACCGAGAAAAGATAGTGTGCCTGCACTTGCATGGGTTTATGGCACATGAGCATGTAGGCATATCAAAACAAAAAGGTCATTTGGCCATTAAACCTTTTGGCCATGGTGCTCGGTCATGGGATTGACGTGGTAATGGTGCTCGGCCATGGGAGTGCAGTTTTTCCACTCAGCCGTCACACACATTCAAGGAATCTCCTTGGAAAAAGAGAAAAGTCGAAAAAAAAAAAGAGATATTCATTCGTCATGGTCGAGGATGATTGATGCCCCAGGATTAATGTTTCAACAAGATGGAGTCGACGATTGGAGTTATTACAAAGCTTTTAGGTGAAGTGTTTGCCGAGCCTAGTATAGAAATGATGGTAGCCGAAGGATGGTAAGAAAGCCTAAGGACGTCTGAAGGTACTTCTTCACCATGGTTATTGCGCTAATGGTGTTCTAAGTCGGCTATAGAGCCGACAGTGATGTCAGCCATATAGCCGACGGTGATGTCAACCATATAGCCGATGGTGATGTCAGCCGAAAGCTTATATGTATTAGCCCTATTCAAAGTTCCTCGTGTTGCTGGGCTACCAAGGAAAATTCGTTCTACTATAAGTGCATTCATGCTTGGAGTTAGAACTAAAAGTCGATCACAGAGGGTGCATGCATTATGGGCAACCACATATAGTTTTGCTCTGGGGCAGTTCTCAAGTCCAAGGAAATTGTACTTCGGCCGAAAAAAGAGTTGTGAGTTCGACATCAGTTCAATGACCGAAGGTTGTATGTCGAGGTCGATGACAGATTTCTCGACCATGTATTTCTCGACCAATAAACTTGAAAAAGTAGGCCGTCCTAATAATTTGGAAATTCTTCGGCCCAGGTGAAAACTTAAGCAAGACTTGCCTAGGTGTCTTCGGTGAGGAGGCTTCGGTAGTCATTTGAATTCAATATATTTTTCGATGCCGCTGTGCTCGTGATCAGTTGGAGAAATTAATTTCCTTGAACATTCGGCTTACGAGCCAAAGCTCAAGGAAACTGGGGGGCAATGTTTGGATCCGATTTTACATCATCGACCTGAGCAATCGTGGCCTTTGGATGAGTAGAGTTTTAGACCATTGGATGATAAAGTGGTTGAGATGATTTTCAATTATTATTGAGGGATAATATTGTGGTTTTAATCATAATATTATCTCTTAATAAATATTAGATTATTTAAGCCTAATATTAGCTATATCCAGCTGGTTGTTTAAAGATAAGTGATGAGGCAAATCATATTTCCAACTTGGAGGTACAGTTCAAACGGGTTTGGGATGTTTGTAAGACTCATGCGGCAATGCAAATTACGAATGAATTAATTTCATTTAAAATCAATGCTTGCATTGGATAAAGGTGAAATGATGCAGTAGGTGGATGATGGTGATCAGGATCACATCGTGACATTTGATTTGCAAATGGTTTGCATGGATGAGACGGCATGAAAAAATGAGCTTTTTATGGTCTCTACGTGGAAGTTTAAAGAAGATTATCTGGAATGGCTATTCCAAATGCATGCACTTGGACGTGAATATGGGTCTAAACATTGCACGGTTATATAAAATGCTATGGAAGAGTTCCATGTGCTTGTAAATTGATCTGATTGCATGGTTATCATAGGTAGACGACAATTATCAAAGTGTGTTGCTCCTTTGGAATAATATTCATAGGAATATTATTTATTCCGATTGCATACTCCTAAGTCATGGCAACAAATTCATAGCGTGTTCATCAAGGCACGTCCCTATAAATACAAAGCGGCAGAAGACATTCGAAGGACCTCCAATTCAACACACAACTGCCCTGCGCAAACCTCTCAAACACCTTGAGATTTTTTATTTTCTTTTTTCGCCAACACACTGACACGCCCAAACCCCGATATTCCCCGAATACCAGGATAGGCACGTGCT